TTTATAATAGAGAAGGACGGCCAACAATGGGATGCATCCCAGCCATATGACATTCAAACAAAATTCGTTGTCTTTGAATATTCTGAAGCCGAAACGCGATTAAAATAAACGGCTTTTTCATATGTTGACGGTGGATCGTGTCACGGACGAGATTTCTATATTCCTTTTTCCTAAATTAGAAATATGTTTTACCAGGTAGGCATCAAACCCCACTACCTGTTGATTGTTAGCCATACATCGCTACCATTACACCAATGAGCCGGTCCAATTGTCAACATGACAGAGTATATATTTAAAAGAATTGCACTTTAACATTAATACAGACGAGAACCAAAATAACACTACACTTCTATTTAAATTAGGAACCAATACTCCAATCTCGAACTTGACGGCGAGGAGCGAGACAAACTGGCAGGAAACACGCTGCCACTCCTTTCATCGCTAATTTTCATTATACAGTCCCTACGTGCTCACGTATAGTTTGAGCAATACCCAAACAAGAGTTCAAGCTATTAATTCACGATTGTTGATCTTAGGACATTTACGACAAAATAAATTCTATACTAATATTTAAAGCTAAGAATTTGTTTGTTGGAACGCGCTAATCTCTGGAACTGAAAAATGTTTTATGTTAATTGGACCATCTAGATAGACGGTGAAAGGCCTCTATAAATGATCTGGCTGCGAAATAAAAGAGCGAAGAAATAGTGGGAAATGTGGAATAAGCGGGGAAAATTATTCATCTTGGAGGTTTTTCGTTGCGTGCGTAGCGAAAGCGGTTTACAACCCAAAAAATATGATATGGACCACCTCCTCCTTAAATAATCCGCGTGTTTTTTTTTTTACTCACATGAACCGTTTTTGGTGGTTAAATTCGGTCGAAATACGCCTTGAGGAAACTATATGATCATTTCTCACTCAAAAATTGCAAACAAAAAGTAATTCCTCATAAAAAGTATATGAAATATTTTCAATTTCAATTATCTACCAATACAGGGTCGGTGTTCCATAGAAAATTAATTACCTTGCGATGTTTAATTAATACTGGGGCGTATGGTCTGTAAAATACAGTACAGAATTGGTTGCATCCCGCCGTCTCTTTCCGGTGCACGCGTTACGCTGCGCTGGAAAGGGACAGACTTACTCATTAGCCTTTGCAAAATGAAATCCAATATAATGGTCAGTTGTATGCAGAAGTGAATTATTTTATAAATAGACTCTCTAACGTTATGAATTTGCTTTACTGAGTTTAATTACACGATGTGGCTAAGTAGGTACAGCTAACGTCCAAACCGTTCGATTCTTGACCCTGTTAAGGCTCGTTGGTTTAATTAATCTGAATGGTAACAATGGTTATGGCTAATAATCAACGGGTCGTGGGTGGATTTCGTCTGGAAATCTGGTTACTAAATGGGTCATAGGAATATAGGAATTCCGTCCGGGTCACGAATCACCGTCCGCAGTTGAAAAAGCTGTGAAGCTTAATTGCGTTTCGGGTCAGTCTGTGGATTTCCGAACCCCATGATTGTCTATCCACCTCTATCATAAAATAAATAAATATTTGTAAGAAGTTTAAGTTGTTGATGCAATCGGAAAAGTTGATTAGTACCAAACCTATCGTACTCTCTTTACTAATCTCTTCTCGAATACATTAAGTATCTATAAGTACTATTTAATTGTCTATAAGTGTTGTTTATTAAATTTCGTTATCTCTTAATTTTAGTTTTTTGTACTATAATACCCAAGTATTTTGTAAATATAAACAAATATCTTGTACCCAGTGTGGACGCGGTGATAGAACAGAGAAAAATATAATATCTATCTTTATAAATTAGCATAGGAACATAAAAGCGAAAGTAGGAATATAAACTTACTTAAATGTGCGTAACAATATATTCTGCCCAGAGTGATAAGAAACACAAATAAAAATTGTCTATGTTTACTAGTAAATCGAGTAGTGTAGTCTATCATTTAGTTTGTTTTAAAATGACTACTTTATTATTTAAATAAAACACTTTAACGGTTTAAAACGCGATATATTAGTGAGCTTATTTGAAAATGATTTTTAACTTCAGCCCGACGTTTCGGATGCTTTGCAACAGCCGTGGTCACGGGGAGACTAAAGATGAAGGATGTCTCTGACGTCAAAGTAAAAAATTGCTACGCTAGCACCATCTGTTCCGTCGAAGATGGTATTTGGCGAAACTGGCCGGGTCCATACAGAATAGACTAACGGCTCCGTTATAATATAGATCGCGTTTTAAACCGCCAAAGTGTTTTATTTAAATGTGTATGCGTAAACTATAGTATACATATATAAGTATACATCAATTATATATATACTATAGTATATATAAAAAAAAACATTTATAAAAAAAAAAAAAAAAATATAAAAAATATATTTTTTTTTTGCATTTACTTTATTATTGAAAATGATTATGTCGAAAAATTTTACGCTTTCATTTGAACCCAAAGTTGGGTCAAAATTTATTGTCAGTGTCAAAAAACATTTCTTTTATTTGTTCCATAGATATCTAGATTTTTTTTTAATTTTAAATTCGTTTAAAATCAATGAACTTTGTAATTGAAAAAATGTTTTACCACTTTTAAAACCGCACAAACGTGCCAGTCATAATCCTAAGCTCACGGTTCATTGAACTATGAACAGACATTCATTTGAGTCTGGATTTGAGTCTAACCGCGTACCACCTGGCGTTCGACAAAGAGCGGAAAACAATTGGTGTTATTATGTATTCGTGTGGTTGACGAGGTGAGCGGAGAGCGATTTTTATTTTCTAATTACGCATACCACGACGACGACGGTTTGGTCTATTGCTACAATGTACTAATGATCAACGAGTCGTGGGTTTGGGTCCCCACAAGGTCCAACATGTTTTTTTTTAATTTTAACTTTTCTGAAACATGCTGGACTTTGTCTGAAAATCTCGATTTTAAATGGGAATATAGAAATTCCGTCCGGGTCACGAACCAAGTCCACAATGAAAAAGCCGTGAAGCTTAACGCGTTTCGCTTTCAGTCTGTGGATTTCCGAATATCCAAAGCCAAAATAGGTCGAGAACGCAACTTGTTCAGATGCTACACGCTGAGGTATATCACTTATCATCAAGCGAACCCAATGCCATGTCTGTCCTCCTGTCCAATAAAAAATATATATCACAAGTCAGTTTATTGCATTTACGTAAAAACCAAGAGGTCCTGTGTTCGAATCCCGGGAAAACTTAATAAATAGTTGCGGTCGGCCAGAACATAGTAGTCTCATCTTGCAAATAAAAATCCATAGGCGAAACAGACATAAAACTGAGCTCACCCCAATACCCCATCGGGGGTGTAATTTCACATACTGGGAGTATATTCATGTGATAAGATATAGTTGAACATCTGAAGGACTAGATGGCGCTGGTGATTCCTAATACTCGGTATCAACATTTTCTACTATATCAGTTATACTTCGAATCGGCCATATTGAGTTAATAAATGATCAGTGAAACAGATTACAGAAGATTTTTGTAAGAGTTAGAAACGGTTACCTATAATCGTATCTCCTCTCATTAGGTTAGAACATTAGTTGACAGAATCTGCGGGTAATTTACACGAGTAGTAAACTTTCAAATAAAACATTAACGGTTTTAAACGCGATGTACATTCACGGAACGATGGGGTGTGTAATAAGTTTAACTAATACGTATCTCGTTTAAACCGTTGAAGTGTTTTATTTAAATATTATTTATTAATTATATTCTTTTAATTACAACTAAATTAAATCACATTGTATACAAAATATTATTTATCATTAGTTGATAATGCCAAAATATTAACGCGCAACAATTTAAAGGTTGACATCTTAAGACACATTTGTTTTACACGTACGGAGTCTTTTGAAATAAAAAAATGACTATTCAAATTCGGGGATAATAGTAATCTTTAACAAAATACATTCAAATGTATAACCAATTAAAAGCGCATTGCCCATTTAAAATTTGTACCACACCCAAAATTATTTTTCATAACGCATTGATTTTAAAAACCTAGGAACAATAGGCTTTTGTAGTTAGTACTTGTCTAGTAAGGGGAGTGATTATAAGACCTAGTCATTTTATTTTGTACGCCCTTAATGAGTTAGCGTTGAAAACATGTTTTGCATTCAATTTCCTTCGTTTTAGCTACTTTGGCACGAAAATATTATTATTATTATTTAATAGAAAGAACGATACTTTTACGAGTAGATTGTTTTGTCAGATGTTAAAGTAATATTTTTGAAGTTGGAAACATTATACAAGTTTAAAGAAATAAATCTATGCTTAAGTATATTTATTATATATTCAATCTTTTCGAAAAGAAATTGTTTTTTTGGTAAATTTGTATGTACTGTCTATAGTTTACGCGAGTAGTACACATTTAAATAAAACACTTTAACGGTTTAAAACGCGATATGTTAGTTAAACTTATTTGAAAATGATTTTTAACTTCGCGTTTTAAACCGTTAAAGTGTTTTATTTAAATTTGTATGTATTCTATTGAACGTAAATTTCTTTATATAGTCAGTATTTTTGTCAGTACTATTGTTTTTTATATGTCATGCAATGAATCAAAAATAATTTATCACTTTGTCTTCAATATATATTTGGAAAAAATTCTTTAACCCTAGCGGAATTTGTCATCCCTTTTTTTTACTTGGAGGAATCGACTCTTTACCGACGCCCCCGCCTGGCCACATCAAGTGGCGGGGGGAGTGTGGGGATCAGCCAGCTTGGCCACTACCCACTAAACCTCGAAGAGCCCACGGGAGTGCTGCCCGACGTGCATTAGGCATTTGTCACCATCAGTTAAAAACAGGCATTTAGTAAATTAAGCAAATATAAACTAATTACTAATATTTGGGTGATCTTTGGATTCAGCTGTAGTAAATTACAAATTAAAGTCACGACTCGTCGGCTATAGTCATTGCTGCCATTAGACCAATAACTTGTTTCATTTTCCAGGTGGTGGATGCACGTTTCCAGCAGAATGGACCGGGAGCTGGTTCCAATCTGGGATCCCTTCTCTCATTGCGATCAACTCCACGCATATTCAAATGAAGGGTGAATGTTCGGAGACGGAATCTTATGACAAGTTCCTCTTGTATGATAGGTAAGTAACATATATTCGATGTGAAGATGCGTTCTAGTCTAGTTCATCAACGAACTGATATATATTTTTTTATAATAGACAAGGACAGAAGCCTAGGGCTCACTTGGAGGAAGATGAAACACCTGGACTAGATGCGTTATCGACCTATTTTGGGATTTTGATATTCAAATTATGTTTAAAAAGAAAGTTTTCAACTAAAAATAACAATGATTTAATTCCAATTAAAAAATAATAATAGTGGAAATAATATGAATGGTTAAACAAAAAATCGTATGAATAAATTCGATTTTGTGGACCGTATGAATTAAAATTCCTATGTTACTTTATCGCTGTTTGTAAACTGTTTTTAATTAAATTTACCAGTAAGGTACACGAAATATTGTCTGAAATGGTCATTGGTGCTGGGAGCTTTCTAGTCGTACAAACGTGTTCCCAGAGCTCCCTCAAAGCACCTTAGAGGGCTGGTGGTGTTTAGTGGTTCAGGTCAGCTATACGACCACACCTTTACCACCCTCCCCACGTCAGTTTTGCCCGACGTGGGCGTGCATTAGGCATTCACACCGCCAGTTAAAAAAAAGTACACGGAATATAAAACGTATTCTTCGATGTGTAAATCTATTTTTCATATATTTCAGGAGTTATGACTGCTACAGGTGTATGGTGATACATGAAAAACACAAGTATGTACTGCAGTATAAAGAAAGTGAGTATATTTTTATTGTTCCTTACATATGTACTTTGTTGGAAGACGGAAATGTAGAAATATGTAATTTCTTATCAATATGTACATGTCTTTATTTAAATTTTATTTAATACTTATTTTCATCTCACATTTATCGGATAAGATACGATAGGTCAAGGTTCTAATTTCGCGAAATTATAATCGTGTTGTTTTTTTTATGATAGAGTAGGACAGACATGCCATTCACTCGATGGTAGGTGTTAATAGCCAGCCATATAACAAATACTGTCTATAGTTGACGGGAGTAGGACACATTTAAATAAAACACTTTAACGGTTTAAAACGCGATATATCATTGATCTCACAGACACCCTCCATCTTTAGTCTCCCCGTGACCACGGCTGCTGCGAAGCATCCGAAACGTCGGGCCGAAATTAAAAATCATTTTCAAATAAGTTTAACTAATACATATATCACGTTTTAAACCGGTAAAGTGTTTTATAAAAAAAAAGTTGCTCACCTAGACAAACTCGTACATAAAATTTATTAAAACAGATGCACAGACCGCAGCCCGTCGGTCAAATACTGGTGGCTCACCGACATCAAAAATAATACTCAAATTAATAAATTATTTTTCATTTTTAATACATTATTATCAATTGTTTTTTGTCTTTAATTACCTATGTTGTCCCAGTAGCCCCTAGTCTGTGCATCCCTGTATTAAACAGAATAAAAAATGTAATTTTATTGTAATTGAATTTAATTCTAATAAGCATTCCTGATTTTTCAGCCTTCTGCAGCCAAAAAGACTCGCTGTCGTCCATATGCGACGAAATAAGCGGAGATGCTCCTCTCTACTCCATGTTTCGGAAAGAACCTGCTGCTGTGCCGCAGCCCTGCCCCTTCCACCCCGCGCCCTTCACCTTCACGTACAATCGGTGAGCAAGATAAAATCTAAAAATCTTTCAAATGACGCTGAGATAATATTTAAGCTACACAGTAAATCTATATTTCTATGCTAGTATATAAAGATGAAGTGTTTGTTTGTTTGAACGCACTAATTTCGAGAAACACGGGCTCGAATTGAAAAAATCGTTTGCGTTGGTTAGAACATTTATCGAGGAACGCTATAAAATACGTTGTGGTTAATAGGAGCGAAGTAACAATGGTAAATTAGGAAAATACGGGGAAATTCATTAATTAAGGTTTTCCGTTGAGTGCGCTTCGAATACACCGACCCCGGCGACGCCGAACCAAAGCCGTCGCAACGCGATCGGTCGACTACGCGCACCGCTCACCCGAGTGAGCTTTTGTCCAGCTCCTCAAACTTCCACCCGGATTGCAGCGGTCCAAGCCGAGGCCGATGCCCCCATCGGGGCATCCTTGGTCTTGCTGCAAACACGAAAAAAAAAAAGCTTCGAAAACGCTTCATGATACCCAAAAAATGTGTAAAAAATAATGATTCCTCTTAAATGATCTAAAAAACGTTCTCATTAGTATCTATCTCTTAGGATAAAAACGAGACGCAGACAACGTCCTGGGCAACAGCTAATTTAGTATATATTAAGTAATAAAAATATTTGTTTCTTATTAGATTTTTTTTCATTTCAGAGGGTCTGGTGACTGTGTATATCCACCTTCGCGAGCTGAATCTTGTACTGATGACTCCAGGCTTCTCTTGCGGTACATGGCTTGTCCCGATGTACCTGGAACTGAGAGCAATGGTAAATATATATACACAAATATATACTGCCAATACAGATATTACCCATTTCGACATAATATAATGTAGACGGTACATAAAACAGTTAATTATTATTTTTTTGTATATTTAACAATTAAAACTATATTTTAATATATCATTGTTTTTGGGTTGGTCGGCCGACGTGAGCGAGAAGAGGTTCTCCGTAAACATATCAACCCTTTGGTGTACAATATTAATCACTCCTACTGTTTGCGTGATGAGAGCCATCAAATATGTAAAAAGCCAAAATTCTATATTTTACATAAGAAAATGTATAAGATACTACTAACTCTGACAAGAGCCATATAGATATTATGTTACATCAAAAACAATAATTATAATAACGTTTCAGTCGAGGAGCTGGTCTGCTTAGCCACCTGGAAGGAAGGTTCCACCCGCTACCTGGTTGGACAGATCTCGCAGGTGCAAAGGAGAAACTCCATAGCATCTGACGAAGATACTTACAGGTAAATTAAAAATCAATTTTACGGCCAGGGCAGGATTTGCTCTTATAGGTGATTTATTAATTGAATATTAATATTATTAATTAGTTTATTTACCACATTAAATATACTAAAAACAACCGAACAATAAATATTTATTTGACCACGATGATAAGCAAAATATCGTAAGCCATTAGTCCCGATTATCATCACTAATATGGTGCCTGCCAGCTCTGAAGTAGTGTATTGGGTCTCCTAAGACATTTCTCTTTTGAGAGAGAAGACAGGCCCAGCTGTGAGACTTTATAGGGTTAATATGAGATCCTGTGTCAATGCGAAGTTTAGTTTTTAGTTAAAGTCTTTTTGATGTATTAATTATAATACATATACTATTAAAAAAGGAGATTTGAATTAATTCAATTAAAAAATAATATTTAAAGATAGTTGGAAAAGAAAGGAACAGCTAACATCAACAATGCTATATGCAGTTAGTCGCCTGCACCGACCCCACGATGGTATTCATAGTCCGTTGAGTGGGTTGGCAAGACACTAAGTTAAGTTTCGAAGCTGCATCGAGAGCATCCCTGTCAGGGCTTCCTGAATTTATGAATAATGAAATCAATAAATATTCCAGGTGTTTCATCTACAAGGGGTTGCATGGTGACAAAAGCACGTCGTACATCATCGCCCAATCCGGAGACGCTACTTGTAATGGACTGTCTTCACCCACAGATGGCAGCAGAACCATGAAACTGACCACCAGTAGGTTTCCAACAATTACAAATATAATGAGCTCAATATTTCCTTAAACATCCTTGTAAGTTTGAGCATTATCTCGACAACCTTTGAGATAAATTGAACTTGCTGTACTGGTCGAGAAGCGGCCGGCAATAGTTGTATGAAAATGCATATCTCTCGTGCTCAGCAGCCAAATAAATTACTATGTAAAAGCATATCTGACGTGTAATTTTACAAATAGAACGATCTTCTCTACAATATGTCGACCAAATAAGTAACTTGTTAGAGGTTTAATATACATTTTGAACTAGCTTGCATATAGTAAGCTGTAAAAAAAAATTTTGGGGCGTAAAAACGATTGTTATTAGCTGTGCGTCAACTTCGCCATTGGTTTTACAATTCGGAATTGTACTACTTAGTTTAGTTAGTTTAATTTTCGCGCTTTATTTTAGAAAAGTACTGTAAAAGCCTTGGCCGCAACTTGGTATTGATGTACTTCACACGTTCGTCCATCGATGCCTCTCTTGTCGGCCGTTGCGCATTTACTATGTAATAACTTAATGACGTAATAAGTAACTTAACTTAGTTAACGTCTGTAGTTTACGTGAGTAGTGCACATTTATTGAGTCTCCCCGTAACCACGGCTGCTGAAAAGCATCAGAAACGTCGGGCTGTAGCTACAATAATTTTCAAATAAGTTTAACTGAACGCGATTTAAACCGTTAAAGTGTTTTACGTAACTTAGTGACAAGTATGTGTTTATATATAGTTATCCCGTGCAATTTCTTCAACTCGGCTCTTAATATCGTCTAAGGCACTTTTTTTCCAAAACTGCCTCTATACATAGCTTGATACAAAATAAAACTGGTGTTATTTTTTTTCAGGTGACGATGAGCATAATCGCTGCCACTTCCCTGGCTGGATAGTGGAACATCACAAATGGTACAGCTTGGACCACACTCACCAATACCATTTTACTACCAAGAATGCTACTCTGAAGGTAAAGTAATAGCGTAAAAAAAGTTAACGTTGGATTTTTTTTATGATATATTATTAGATTAGAAATGTTGAACCAGGTCGGTACCGAACCCACGACCCGTTGATTACTACCATTACACCAATAACCCAGTGGGAAGGTAGAAAACGATTAAATATTTATTTCTATTGTTACGTTTAGTATTATGTAAAACATCATGACTCTTTACCTAAAGCTTCTTAAACTCATTTAACGATATGCATACCGACTGTTTAATATACTTTTTTAATGATATTTCAGATCATGAATACAGACGGAAGTTTCGAAGAGAAGCGATTGGTTTGTCATTCTATACTCGAGCAAAAGGACAAGAAACAGATAACTTTGGTCGCGCACGTCACTAGAGGATGGTAATTACTTTTATATTTAGAAGTGCCAATTTATATTGTAGGAACATTAAAAGTACAGACTTTTCCGGCTCGAAGGACCCAGCGACCTAGGGATGGCAGGAGGGGTTAGCTATTGGTGGGAAGGACTTAGGAGGCATGGAAGGTCGTTTTTGGATACCTATTGATTTGTTAAACTAAATCCAGTCCTAAAGTGCGAACTAGCCCAACCACTACTTACGTATTTAGTTTAGCTATACATTTAGTAGATAAATAAAACTTTTATTATTTTTTTATTTACTGTAGCAATAAAACTATGTGTATTATGTAGCACACGTTTAATATTATAAAGTTATTAATGTAATTATAAAGGTAAAAATAAGTTAATTAGTTAACGTTAAAAGTTTATTTTAAAATTAGACAAACCAAAAAATCTTATGTTTATTAGTTTAGTGTATCTTTCTATCAATCATTAGTCTTTATTTAGGATAGAGGACAGACATGACAGGGTTCAGGACTTGATGGTAGGTGGCCTATAGCATCTAAACAAGATGCGCTGTCGACTTTTTTGTCTACATTAAACTCATAAAAACCTATGTTTTATTTGCAGCGAGTCTGGTCACATCTGCCTCAAATTCTACCGTCGTGAAGGAAATGTATTGGAGCTGCAGCAGGGATCGAATCTCTGGGAGTCCCCGCAAGACGCATGCGCAGAGAGCACACAGCCGTCGTTTATAACGCTTATAAGTAAGATTTATAGTCTATAGTAATAATATTATAAAACTGAAGAGCTTGTTTGTTTGGACGCTGGAATGTTTGGCGAAAAAATCTTTTTATGTTGTGCCATTTACCGAGGAAGAGAAGTTTAGCCTATAAAATAGCATTCTGCGACCAATAGAAGCGAAGAACATTGGAAAAAACGGGGAAATTGACCTTATAAAGCAACATTAAAACGATAGTCTTTGAGGCTCAATGTAATATATTTTTTACGATAGCCATACTAAATCAATAATAATAATCCCTTGGTGTATGAGTGTTTCGTGTTTTCTTTATGAAGGATTTAAGATTTATATATTTAAACTTATCCTAGTAATACGCTTTTTTCAGCAACTTCCCTGACTCCAATGCGTTGCCCCATTCTGGGTCGTTACTCCATCATTGACTCTCTCGCTGACCGGAGGAGACGTAGACAACAGATCGGTAAGAAGTCTTTCTTCTATTATGTAGTCAATAAGTCATCCAAAATATCTGTCTGTGTCTCAATGCATAAACAACATAATAATTCAGGTCTAGTATGTCACAGAAGTCTGGTTCAATTCTTGTCTGTAAATATGTTAATTGGTCATCAGTTTCGCGTCGCCATTTTGCCCCCAAGTTGAATTTTCACACTTTATACAAATTTAATGATAAAAAACTGTTCAATAAATAATATAACTTTATCATGTTAGTTGTATGTTTTATCAACTTTTTACTCACGACGTTTTCGTCGATTAAACGATGACAAGTCGTCGAAAACCTAGGTAGCTTAATTTATGTCATTTGTCATTCTCAGGTGATCCCGATTCAGAAGGCACCCAGATGTCTGAATGCGTTGCTGGAGACTATGATAGTGCCAGTATTGGTTGCGGCGCTGCTCAGGATACAATCGAGTTCAAGTCTTCTTGTACCAGCACTGGTAAGGCTACTTGACTACTAACACTGTCACAGATTATTAAATTACACATTAGTTTTAATGATTGTAATCATAAAGTTATGTGTTAATAATAATAATAAAAAAAATACTATAACGGTTTTAAACGAGATATATTAACCTTATTTAAAAGTTATTTTAACCATGGCCCGACGTTTCTGATGCTTTGCAGCAGTATTTAAAGAAAAGTTATGAAAAAAAAAATCTTGTTCTTCTATATGAACAACCCACGGTAGTTGTGACACAGAGCGTATTTTGGATCAATATATATTTGTTTGTTTTATTATTAAAACATAAAGTAGGACCAGTTTTAACCGTTTTTAAGTCATATAAGACGGTTAAATATTACCTAACTCTATTTCAGTATACACGTGCTACGGTAGTTGGCAGGAGGGCGGTCGTGGTTTTCTTGTAGCGGCACCTGTTGCTCGATCATCGACACATCCGCGAACTTTCTGTTTTATGTATACGACTAGACCGGGAAACGGTAAGTGTAAAAGTAAACGCAGGCTACTAAACTCTCAAAGATGACAAACTAGTGAGTAATAAAAAAAATACATTTTGCTAGTATCCGAACATTTTTCTTCTAAATAAATATTGCATTGAATAAACTGTAAGAATCTCATAAAACATGTATTAGTAAAGAATTTATATTCTCACATTTTCTTCCCTGTCAATTCTTACCATTAGCAAACAATAATTAATAAAAATTAAATGAATTACAGATACACGCGGTAGCGAGACAATATCTCTAAGCGCAGTGAGCGTGTCCTGCGACAGACGAGCTGTTCCTGGCAGACATGGAGACAAAGCTTATAACCTCACTTCCAATGGTATGATTGTTTCCTAAAAATAATTGTGTTATGTTAATTATTTATTATTCTGCGACACTACAGGTGCAATAAATTTTGTCCATATTTTATGTTATACTCAAAAAAAATGTATATAATATTTAATAAACAAATTATTTCACAGGCACTTGTGAGCAGAGCAGCAAATACAACAGCGTAGCTACAAAATTGGCGCCGGCGGCCATCTTGCTCCTGTCATTGCTACTAGCGACTCTCAGATGATAATGAGGCAAAAAGTAGAACTTGTACGACTAATGTCACTGTCTTATCTGTGCTGCATTTTAAACGGGTTCCATTTTTAATTACTGTGTTGTCACTTTTTTATAGTTCACATTTTTATTCTGTGGATATTTGACAGTTGACTGTTTAACGTGCACGCACAGATAGGACTATCGGAAATAAAAAAATAAAAATAGTGCATTTAAAATTAGTGTTGCTTAATTGTGATAAACAAATTTTTGGCGGGAAATAATTTTCCATTGTTGCCATCGCACCGGGTTGTTTCGGCAGAATAGTTTGTAAGTTTCGGGTTATTTATTACTTCTCGACGAGATAATTTGAAAGTCTTACTAATAGCGCAGTTTTAATGTTTACACACGAGCCATACGTATTTTTTAAGACCAATACAATTAATTTTGCTTCAGAACGATTTCTTTCTATTGCAACATACATATTATATTTGTTGTAACTACAGAACACAATATCCGATATGTTCGTGTGTAAATCTTAAACGTATATTACTGATATGTTTGTATGACTGTGTTTCCTATAAATTATTAAATAAGAACGAACGAATGGCACTGTACATAGAAAACCTGACTTATAATATCTTGCTTTTGGAGTGGTGGTTAACCTATGAGATTCAAAATAAACCACTTCAAATAAATCTCTAAAGATAACTCTTAAGGTTTGTCACCACTATGCTCAAATCCCTAATTGGTACGAATAAGGGACTACTATGAAAAGATTTAAAACTGAGGAACTATAGGATGTTTGATTCAAAAGAACGGACGAACTTGTTTGTTTTGATTTACTGAAAGAACTAAAATGAAATAAAATATCCTATAGTTGATCTTTTTTAAACTTTAAAACACGCTTTCGTATGTATATGTTACGGATAAGTTTAGATAGTGAAAAAAATTAGATCGCTCAGCCCTGGATTATATCAAGGTATATTTCGCTAATACTCTTGAATTTTTCAATCACTGTGAGGCAAAACAAATGTGTTAGTAACGAAAATGAACGCAACGACTTATTTGGGGAGATGATTCATGAACATATTTCGTTGCTCAAACATATATTTTAAAATTTTAATACCATGATTCGGTTCTTGTAAATATATGCTCGCGAAATATACCTTTTCATACTTTCTTTAAACTACGAGAAGGGAACAAAAATTCTTACAAATTAGGCGCCTTTTTATTTAACAGTATGTTATTTCATTCTGTGTTCTATCCAGTGACAAAAATTTCTTGTACGTTGCAAATAACATTGTACGGAAGTTTATTTAAATCTTTAATACTATTTCTACTTTAAGTAATAACAAACAATACTTATTTCCAGTTATAACCAGTTGTAATGTTTCGTTTGAGCCCATTGATGTAATTTCATTTAGACGTTATGTAGTTTCCTTTAATTTAAATTTCAAACGTCTCATTCTTTCATATAACGCTTACTACTCGCTAAATATCGTAAATCCTGACCAATAGTAGTATTAAATATTGCTCATAATAGTTCGAAATTTTATTTGTGATATAAAATATTTTAAGAATTAAAAAATGTAAATACAGACTAGAATCAAGTTCCTCATTTTATTATTTATCATCTGTATCGTTTGGATATACTCGCGGCGATTTGATTCGGTCTCGAAATTCACATTTACGTCACTAAATATAGATTCATCGTCTTACTTTTTAGTCCTGTATACTTGTTTTTTTTTCTTTTACCACGTTTTGTGACCGAACCGAAAACACGCGGGCGTAGTTTAAGGTTTATCGATGCTTGCCTAAAATATTTCTAAAAATATATTTAAAAACTTAGCCGAGATGACTATTGTAAATATACCTAGCGGGATAATTTGATAATATTTTGTAATCATAAACACAGTTTTTTAAAATACAGGATATTATAAAGATAATAATAATTGTAGCTATGTCGAATTGAACTATAACGAATAAATGTACGGAAAGTTTATTTTGATTTTTTTTATTAAATTTAAGATGTTAAATGCACAATGAGTAATACACTATAGCGATAGTTTGGGAGCCGCTGGCAGCTGTCAGTGTCATCGAAATGTCAAGTCTGACAGAAGAATGACAGCTCGCGTTTATTAAGCTGTGGAGGGGCTTTTTAAAGCGTTTTATTTATTAACGAAAAATTTAAAGTAAGAGAAACCACATTGTGAATAAGTGCACTGAAATTGTATGTAAAAAATGTATTACTGTATTGGAATTGTAATTTTGGCTTGTAAATATTTTACGTATTGATTTCAGCTGTAGACATTCTTTTATTTCCTTCTATTTCAAGCTTGAGTCTGTTGAGGTTTCGTGCTCTTTTTTAATGAATTTCTATCGGTCGCGCCATGAGATACGATTTGTAACTATTAATGTAAGCCTATTATTATATTTTGATTACTGAAATATATTTGAAAATCAATTCGTTGTTCGTTTTATTTAAAATTTCTTATCTGATTTAACGCGGATGTGTGGCCTTTCAGATATGGATTTTTGGAAAACAATACAGTCAATTTTTTGGAATGCTCTTGCTCGCTTCTTGGATTAGTAAACACTAAGTAGCCTAAATATCGTTCAGGCATACACAATATGAATGAAAAGGTTTAAGAAACTTAATACAAATTGTTACTTGCCTTTTTCAATGAAAATCACAAATTGTGTTTTTAAAGCACGAATTTGCAAACCGCTTACGTCCGATTGTAAGAAAAACTCATTTAAATAAGGAAAACACGAGAAAAGGCGTAGTGTTAAAGACCTAGGTGCTTAATGTAGCAGAAATACGCGTGGCACCGGTTAAATAAAATAAAAGGACATGCTTTAGTTTTCATTTTATTTTTCAATATTAACCAATGACTCTTAAGCATACAGTAGGTATATAGCGTAGCGAAGTTCATACAATTTACAGCTTCGAACATACTGGAAGTACGGCGTATATTACAAATTATATCACGAACACATTAAACATTAATATATTTGACAGATTGTGTTTATACTCTAAGAGAAAACTGATGTCAAACGAGGACTGTTTAAATAAAAACTAATCGGTATTCAATGAAAAGTCTGTAAATCAACAATGGAAAATTATATATTGCTTGAACTTTTTTTTAAGCAACGATAAAAAAACAATTGTCTATGAAAACCTCCCAACATCAATAGACACGAAAAGATCGGGTACAATAATAGAGTATAAACACACCAGAGACAAGAGAAAACCACTTCCCGCGCAATTTCTTAACAATTAAACGAGTACAAAATTACTCTCTTCAATGCAAAATATAATATGTTTTACCGTACAATTATCATAAAGGCATTTATACAAATAATTACGTGATAAATTACATTATATAGAACGTATTTCAAATATGGCTTTGGTTATATTTTGACATATCGTGCTGTGTTCAGGAGTTAGGGGGGCAGGTTTAGTTATTACAACTTTATCAAAACATATAAACTTTTAAGAGTAAGATTACTTTTACAGAATCGAGAATATTTGCCAGATGTTCACTGGTCACTGGTTCTTATAGCAGATTAAATGAAGCCCCCAACTTCTGAACAAAATTGTATTTTTGCAAAGCTTTGTTATAGTATTATATCACTAATCGATAAACAATAGAATACTTTGGCTATGACTAGAAAGTAATATCACTGTTAAGGTGCGTCTACTTTATATTTGAAGACAAACAGGAAAAACAGTCAGTCTTTGCATCCATGCCCCAAGCTTTTTAACCCGCCTCTTAAATCTTTACATAAGGAACAATTTCTCTAATCGTTCCTGCTTTTCCTGTAGCATTCAACTTCTATTTAGTTTAACTCACTCGACTCGACAATAGTAACTCGCCTGGAACTCGATCGAAAACTCTCATTGTATCCGGTTCGAAACGGGTCGAGTGAAGTAAACATATCATCCATAAATTCACAATAAAAATAATTTTTCACTCACGACCAATATAATACTTTTTGTGATGAGTATTTCGCGTGATATGTGATGATCAGGTTACATATTGCTGTGATATAATAGCGAGGCGGGAATTTATCAACGCACCATGAATATAAAAAAAGTCAATAGTTGCCATACTAAAACTCACTCCCACCTCTAAGAACAAAAAACAACGAAAAGGCAAAATGTGTTATATACAAATGTCGCGCACTTGGCTATTCAATATTATAATGAATACACATAACCAGTAACGGAGTCCGAATGAAGCTAGGAGGTCTATAAATTCTTATCAGAATTAGGACATCCATGAAATTCGCTTCTAGACCCCATTCCATACAACGCATAAGGGAAAAACAAAATTACCTATATATTTAAATTTTTGGACCGAACATAGAATCTTTGCAAATCAACAATTTTATTTATTTTCGTTTTATATGATCGGCCCAAATCTCTAATTAATCGTAAACGAAAAAGAGCTTCGAGGAGTTACAACATCAGACACGTCTCAAACAATCATGTAAATATTTTATTGCTAAGTAGGAAACGGGGCAAAGAGGTAACCTTGTACGACCCCCTCGGAATGAAAATAACTATTTCCCTAACTTGCTAATACAAAATAATGATAAGAACTGCTGCAACTTCTAAAATAAGATTAAAATGATACATGTATCTCCTCAAAGACTTCTGCAAAATCGAAAATCTTTTCAATATTCTAATGTATTACTGCTTTTTTTTTATGTCAAGCATAAAATTGATTTAGATATTGAAAACGATGTTCAGAACTTAAGTGGACTTTCGAATTATGATTTTATTTAGTTTTTACATGGAATTGTTTAATACAGCTATAATTTTGCTAAGCACATCATAATATCCTGTACGGAAAGCAAACTTAAGAATCGAATAACAGTACATTATATATGGACAATTGGGTTGCCATAAATGATTAATTTAATTCATTCTTCTGGATCTTTTATGACAAAGATCGAGTATTATCCTCCATAATAGTTAAACCCAACTGTCTTTAATGTGTAAAACAGAGATTCCTAGAAATTATTTCTAATTATTAACAGGGTGTGTGCGTATTGAATCTAAATCTTATATATATATATATATAGGTATGTACATTTTAACATATATTCAACGTGCATAATATTAAGACTAGATAAGAGAATACCTCTCTAGATACTGCCACGGGAATCGAGTAAATACGAACGAGCCGAAAGGATACAAAATGGTAACAGAAAAGATGAAATACTTAACGGAATATATCTTGCACAAAGTTGTAAATAGTGCGGGTTTTGAAAAATATGAAATTTTAGTAATTGTGATTTTAAGACACCTTGACAAATAAAAGGTTAATTAAAATTAATTTATCTGTTATAATAATATATCTGAAATATTTTAATTTTTGTTTAATTTACTAAATCCCCGTAACCCGCTACACTACAGAAAATTAATTTCATATTATATTTTCCCGCCAACATATTTGTATAGGAAAAGATAATAAACGTCAGCGGAAACGCTTACACACACGAAATACACGTATTGGACATCTTCTATGTGCATTTATACATACTATTATAGGCAGTAAAGGGGTTTTGCAAAAATACAGCGATATATTAGACGCTGCGGTGTCCGCGGTAGCCCTGAACAGCGATCGTCGAATTGACAGCTGACAGCTGTCACTTTGACAGAGTCACAACACGGTGCGCTGTTGTTTCTATGTAAAGGGTTACCATATAAATCGGACGCTACAACATCGGGCCTTAGCTAAATAATCAGTACTGGATAGCGTTAGTGAATGGCCGGTTTCAATTTTGTAACATATAAAGCTTGCTACTTACAGCTATCTATAATTATAGTCTATGACTAATGTCAAACTGTCAGGTGTCAATGACAAATGGGATAGGATGACAGTTATGAGATAGTGTCGACAAATAAAATACAAAATCACGTTTTCTTTGCCAATCGGATCATTAAATCACATTTGTATCATTATCCTGACAGTTTCTTACATTAAGGTCAATCTATATACGAGCTTACAGGATTAAAGCGTTTCCGTTTATGGGTATATTGAAAATATTCTGTCAAGTTATTATAATTTCACAAAAGTTAACCGTACGAAAAGGTCGTCTTTTCAAAACTTCGATAGTCTTTATGTCAGAATTCATTCACGTGAACTATTTTTTCTGGCAGTATATTTTCAATATAAATAGGAAGTTTTTGTCCAAGCACAACGTATATACAACTGGTATTTTCAACAATATTACACTTAGTTAACATAATTATATCACACATATAAAAATAATTAATTAATTAATGAGAGATATCGGACTGAAATCTATTATCAAAGCATCGGAGCCGCAGAATGACAGAATTAAAAACACCAATCGCACATAACGAACCGCCGACAAAAACACCAAAAACGGCTGCGCAAAAAACGATGACCTCACGCGATAGACGTCGGCGTGACGTCACCTCTGTGTGTACGGTTTTCCCGCAACGAGTTGTTTCGTCGGAGTTCGTCTTTTATAGACGAGTCACGAGATTCGAGTCCCCGCCGGGGCGAGGACGTTGAGTCCCTGCACTCTGACGACGATCGTTTTGTATGTGTACCTGTAATGGTAAAGTCACTGCTACAGGCGGGCATTGAACCTGTGATAGATGCAATAACATGCCGAATAAGTATAGACAGTTTTGCGATGAGGTTAGACCTAGAAAATGTATACTATGTAATTGGCGTGCAACAAAGCGCTTAATTTTGTTGGTGATCTAAAAGCAGGTGTGCGAGTGCAACGCCACATTCACACCATTTGCTCATTAACAAATTAAAAGCACTATTCGACTCTGGAGACAAGATCATAGCGACAAGCGAGAGCAGCAATTTTTCAGCAGCACTGTGTACAGTCAGTGGAAAATATGTGCATCGCTTTATTAACCTTAACACGCAAGTACTTAAGGTTGAAATTACATCGCGCGAGAGGTGCACGTATCACTAAGTTGAAAAAATTCGACCAAATGTATCAAGCGCAGGACAAATCGGTAGCGCGTCGAAATTGAGATAAAGACAAGTAAAGTATATAGGAGTGGGGCATTCTAACTTTCTCTTCACATTTCATCTATCTTAATTAAACATAAAAAAAAATATTGGCTCTAATTAAGTAGTGAAACACCTCGGAATGCTAAGGTTAAGCATATACGAATTGCTAATTAATTGAATAGCTGACGCTAATAGCAAGTGAGGACTCACCGGGCAAGTCTCGGCCGCAACTCATAATTTCGTGGTCAAGCGAAGCGGAAGCCGGTTCTACGGCGCGGCGACATCTTACCCCCTGCTGTTATGGAAACATGATCTTAATAAAAACGTGAATACACTTCTTGTTAGAACACTATTTTATTTGTATCGTTTGTGTCTTTCAGGTAATATTATTATTTATAACGAGAAAACTCTGTTATGTTATATATAACAGAACTTTATTAGTCGCTTGTGTATTTTTTGTATATTTTTTATATTGATGGACCGCCTGTGTGGCTAAATGATTAATTGTTGCCTCGCATTGCATTACGCGAGACGTCTGAATGTGGGTTCGAATCCTGCGGTGACACTACTAATTTATTTCAGTCCGGCAACTCATAGAAGTCCGATCAACTATTTGCGTGTAAATAAATACGACCAGAGTAACGGGCATAGATATGTGTTCGCCCCATGTTCCACGGAGGAATCGGGATTCCAGACTATATGTTTATTTGAGTAATATTTATGAATCTAGTAGTACAGTAACAGGCATGGACACGGGGGAACGTCTGTCGTATGTCGCGCTTTAAACCGTAAAAGGAGTTTTTCAATGTATATCTATTATACTACTGACCTTATATCCACTTGACCCGCTAGCTACAGATGAATTTGACCCCAATGTATGCGTACCGTTCTGTAACACAAATTTGAAACACCATACAGGATAGAACTCTACTAAAATATAGCTATCTCTTTTACTCTTACGCGGGTTTTTTTATAGAGAAGGACAGACAAGCATAGGGATCCCTTGATACAAGTGAAATAAATACCTACAACATATCCGTGGACACCAATTTGAGCTAATAGCTTGTTATCGAGGGATCAAATAGGAGTCTTTATTTATGGAAAGTCTAACTGAATGTTTCAGAATAATCCATATTCCATACAATGATCTGAATCCAATCGTCCAATGATCTGTATTGGGTTTGCTCAACACCGACCATTATCATCCATAGATTATACCAACGGTCCTACTTAGGATAAAAGTTGAAATACACTGGAGGTATAAATGAAACATTTTAAGTATAACATTCAGCTTCTCCTAATGTTGACAGTTGAAATTAACTCACTTGATCCAGTCGTTCTATGGAGGTTTGGCTGCCAGGCGTGTGAGACTCGAAGACAGAACAGTCGCTATCCTGTTCTTGATGCTGCGGCGTCTCCGGACTGTCTGGGATTTCGTTTGCGTCTAGACAAAAATAGCTATGTTGTAGCGACACTTCCAAGTAACAAAAACAACTTGTTATGTGGCCGCCCTATATCAAGGGACAGCCTTAAGCTTTACAATCACACACAATGCACAGAATTATGTATTTACTTTACTAAATCGATATTTGGAAACAGACAAAAATACTGTCTATAGTTTACGCGAATAGTACAGATTTAAATAAAATGCTTTAACAGTTTAAAACGCGATATATTAGTTAAACTTATTTAAAAATGATTTTTAACTTTGGCCCGACGTTTCGTTCAGTCTCCCCGTGACCACGGCTGCTGCAAAGCATACAGAACGTGGGGCCGAAGTTAAAAATCATTTTCAAATAAATTTAACTAATATATCGCGTTTTAAACCGTTAAAGTGTTTTATTTAAACAGACACAAGAATATGCTTGCCCACACTGATTGCGATTTAACTCAAGAAAATAAAACCAAAACCTAGTAAGTAATTATTTTTGATATTAGCGCTAGATGATAGTAGTCACCCACAAATGTAAAATATTTTCCCAAAATACTTACTCAACGGTTGTATATTTCTCCTAGTCGCACGTGGAGAAGGGGGGTGTATAGCCGGAGCCCGAGACGCCCCCGGCGCCCTACAAACAGCTGCCTGCACCACTTCGCAAACGCGACGAAAACGACGAATGTTACCTGTAAATTACAAATTACTTTTAAGCATAGACGATAAGATTAGTTTCGACGGTTTAAAACGCGAAATATACAAGTTAAAGTTTTCGACCGGTAAGCGCGAAAATTTGATTTTATTCCACTGTAGAATGATCACCGGCTGCTGCAAACATATGAAACGTTGGGCCGGAGTTAAAAAAATATATTTCGCGTTTAAAACCGTAATTTTTTTTAATGTGTACTACCCGCGTAAATTACAAAAATAATTAACTAATAGATTTTGCGTTTTAAACCGTTCAAAGTGGATTTTTATACTTGAACTGTAGTGTATTTTTCTTTATATGCGTTGTTAATTTTACTTTAATAAAAGAAAACTAATTATAGACACATAAAACAAGCTGAAGCGAAGTCAGGAATAAATTAAGTATTAAGTATATACAAAATAAAATTAGATGTTAAGATTAATCCATGTTGTAAAGGAATCCAATCTTACCAGATAGTAGAGTAAAAGTGATAGCGTATAGATATTCCTTCCCGTTCTCTCCTGGAGCTTTAGTAATTGTTGATATGTCGACCTGGAAAGATAGAACTCATAAAGTTAACAGAGCATAAAATAGACACATCTCTGTGTCGGATCAGTAATTCCACAGCCAAGCCTGAACTCTAAAAACTTCAAAACACTAATTAGACACGCATTCTTTGTTTCAACTATTTTTTTTATTCAAGTTCTTTTTTTCTTAAATATTATGAATACAAAAAAATAAAAAATTCTAAATTTTAATTATTTATAAACAAATGTCTTCTTAGTGTAAAAAATAATATAAAATGCGTAGCATTGCGTAACTGCGAGAGGTCCTGGGTTCAAATCTCGGGGAAACAATAAATTGTTTTAGCCGGGCAGGGCATAGGAGTCAGACATCTAACTCATCAATCTATAAAAGAACCGATCAGTGAAAGGGACACAGAAATGTGTTCGTCCCCTATGCCCCACGGGGGACCCCACTTATATTCGAGGGTCTAAAAATGCTCTGCTTTATTGTTGCAATTTTACTTTTCACTTAGCATATAAAACTTATCGTGTAAATATAGTAACACCCTTTTGAAATATGTTTTGCTGTTTATCTATATAGATAGATATAGTCTGTAGAACAGGGAAGAAAATAGTTTCTTCCCTGTTCCATAGACTTCTCTTTCTTACCTGAAACCGCACGTGCCGTTGAAACATGGCGGGCGCGTTGGAACCTCTCTTGTATTCGACCCGAAACGACATCGGGCTCAAGACGCTATGAGATAACTCCGCTATCTGTAGACAAAAATAAATGTTTAGCATTAGTTTAACACAACACAACGGTTTCAAACGCGAAATATATTAGTTAACTTATTCATTTTAGATACGGCCTGGCGTTTCGGATGCTTTGCAGCAGCTCCTTAAGTCGCCCCGTGAGAATATCCCTAATGTCAAAGTCAAATCTGTTACGCTAGCGCCATCTGTTGTCGTAGTTGGTATTTTGAGATGCCTTACCGAACTGACTCACATTCTATTGTTACTTGGTGGGCAGTTTTTGGAATCCAAATGTAAGATACAAAGCCGTCTTGCCTTTTGAAATTTGGATGTTTATTGATTTCATTTGTTCATCTTATTTAGATGTTATTTAGGGGTTAAATATATTAAATAATATATATACATAAAACATTTTTTTTTTTTCCGGTTCCGGTGCTCAAAACGTAAACATACTCGAAGCATAGTCTCCAAACAAATTGAAATTAAAAATTATTTACGGCTTACCAGACACAGTGAATATTGAAAAACAGAAGTATAAGTGCTGTGGATTTTCGGAAATCCTGACTCAGGCGTAATTAATGTGGAAATAGAACAATTCATAACAAAGTAAGATCCAACTTTTACCGGATTACCGTTAGAAAATGTTTACACAGAGCTGTGACAGGTATGTCATGTGTCAAATATTACTGTCAGGTCGTCATCATCAGTGACGTTCGTTGAAACGATGTTGCCAGTTTGAAATAACCTCTCTACGGCTGCGTTCTATTTTACAAATAAATTAATATTAAAAATTAAAAAAATAAAAATGGAGGATCAAATTCAAAATTTGTTTGAAAAAAATGAAAATCGAAATGCAGAAACAGACTATTGAGCTAAAAGAGTCCATAACTAATTCAATACTGGAGAAAATTGAAGAAAAAATAAAACCTATTATAGAAGAAAACAAAAATTTAAAATTTAAGATAACTGAACTTAAGGACGAGGTTGAGCATCTTAAAAGGGATAGAAAGCAAAACAACATTATTATTTTTGGTTTAAAAGAGGGAGAAGAATCGACATCGGAGCTAATTCAAAAGGCGAATAACATATTCGATAAAGATATTGTTGTAATTTTACTTTTATTATCGTAATTCCTCGCGGGAGCGGCGGAGCAGGGATATTCATGAAAACGCACGCACTTCAAACTTTCACATATATATATATTTATTCATTTTGCACTGTAGATATAATTTAGTATAATAAATGTGTACAAAAACTACGACGTGTTTCGTCCGGCGTGTCGAGAAGAGAAGTGCCGATTTCTTTTCATAAAACAATGTCCTGGGAATTCAAACAGACATAGAACAGAACAATTTAAAATCCAATTCAAGTGTTGCCAGCCAGCTTCAACATATATAACCTCCAACACACCCCCTCAACACTTGAACATATTTAACATTGCTTATTATTTAATTTAGCATACCAAAACTGAACTGCCCCACAATAAAATGATATCCCTAACTAAACCCACCAACAAACTACTTTCAAACTTAACTATTCCATTACATTTAACAACTACCATATCTTACTTCCAACTTACTACACACTACTACTCCTACTCGACTCTACATTTACTCCTACTCGAACCTCCACATATATAACTCCTACTCGAACCTCCACATAATATAACTCCTACTCGAACCTCTACATAATATAACTCCTACTCAAACCTCCACATAATATAACTCCTACTCAAACCTCCACATAATATAACTCCTACTCAAACCTCCACATAATATAACTCCTACTCGAACCTCTACATAATATAACTCCTACTCGAACCTCTACATAATATAACTCTTACTCGAACCTCTACATAATATAACTCTTACTCGACTCTACATAATAACTCCTACTCGACTCTACATAATAACTCCTACTCGACTCTCTACATATATGACTACGCAATACACAAACCTCTACTATACTATACCAGTAACCACATCATCTCAAAGACTACCATATCCTTCAGCAACTATCTCCTTTGACCAAACCTAAAATTATAAGACATAAAAAACCCCATTTCAGTAATTTAAAAACTCTTCTCGACCGCTTAACATAATACTTATAATTATATTTACCTACCTTAAACTATCTTGTTCAAACCAAAAATTCCAACTAAAATATTTACTTGACACTTGACAACCCCTTTTCATATAAAAAGAACAACAATATAATAAACTACAAAGAGACAAAATGACTTTTAAAAAACACCTGTAAATAAAACAAAAAATTAAATTATATCTTCTCGGACACCAACTAAAACAATTATACTATTTTAAATCACCCCCTTAATTGTTTATAATAATTGATTAATAAACACCACCCCCTTAATTTTTATCTTTTTCCTTATTCTTTTATATATTTTTTTCACATCTTTATCAGCTACTCGAATCTTCATCTATATCTTCAATATCACCTACTCGAATCTTCATCTATATCTTCAATATCACCTACTCGAATCTTCATCTATATCTTCAATATCACCTACTCGAATCTTCATCTATATCTTCAATATCTACTCCTACTCGAACATCACCTCTCTAGGTATCCACCTAGAAACCCTTGTTTCTCTCATTAATCATCAAATCTCTTATTTTGACATCATTCTTTCCGTTTTTTTTTTTTTTTTTTTTTAATATTGTTTCGTTGCCTATATTTTTTTTTCTTATGTGTCTGCGTTGCTTTCCTTCCCAAATTTATGATAAAATTCGCTTACAGGATTTTTTATTGTATTTTTTTTTTCTTCCTTTATGTGTCTGGGCCCATAACCTGTTGTTGTTTTGCTTTATTATCGTAATTCCTCGCGGAGCGGCGGAGCAGGGATATTCATGAAAACGCACGCACTTCAAACTTTCACATATATATATATTTATTCATTTTGCACTGTAGATATAATTTAGTATAATAAATGTGTACAAAAACTACGACGTGTTTCGTCCGGCGTGTCGAGAAGAGAAGTGCCGATTTCTTTTCATAAAACAATGTCCTGGGAATTCAAACAGACATAGAACAGAACAATTTAAAATCCAATTCAAGTGTTGCCAGCCAGCTTCAACATATATAACCTCCAACAAATAAATATAAATATAGAGGATTTTGAAATAAATAATATTTATCGGATCGGAAAGAGAACCCCAGGTGTAAAACCGAGACCCGTTCTGCTTTCCTTTGTTAATGCATGGAAGAAAAATGAGGTCATGAAAGTCCGAAAGAATCTAAAAGATATTTATATCACAGAAGATTATACAAAAGAAGTTTTGGAAAAGAGAAAATTGTTACAAACTAGACTGAAAGAAGAAAGAATGAAAGGAAATTTTGCATATTTGAAGTACGATAAGCTTGTGGTAAAGGAAAATAATACGACTAAGGAAAAAAGAAAAAGAGAAGTATCTTCATCACCCCAAGATAATACAACAATTAAGAAACAAACCTGGACGCCTTCACAAAATAGGCGTAACGCTTTTGATGTAATGAGAGCCAGAGCCAATTCTCTGTCTTCCTTTACAGCGGATAATGATAGGCAATAACAATTAGCTATCGGCAACCGGAAAACACAACTACGTTATACAAAAAAACAATTATATAGTTATAACCAAACTCTCCCAAGCCGACTGGTCCTCGTGGGGGAATACGACCAAGACCCTCTAAATATAGCAAACAAAAAGAAGAGAAAACAACGTAACGATATATATATAGCTACTTTAAATTGTCGTTCGCTAAGAACAACAGAAAAATTACAAGAACTGGAATTAGCATTGGATGAAATAAAATGGGATATAGTTGGAATTAGTGAAGTGAGAAGATTTGGAGAAAAAATAGAGGACCATGGAAAATACATACTGCACCATATCGGAGAAACGCCTGGTTTATTCGGAGTCGGATTTCTTGTCAAAAGATACCTCGCCAAAGGTATACAAGAACTCAGAGGAATTTCAGAACGGATAGCACTTCTCAGTATTAAATTACCTGTAGATGGAGACGAAGAACAATTGTGGTCAATAATCCAAGCGTATTCGCCTACTGAATCAAACAGGAAAGACGATATAACGAAAATCGATAAATTCTATGAAGATCTGCATTCGGTCTGTGCAAAGGCGCATAAAAACATAATAGTCATGGGAGATTTCAACGGACAGATTGGCAAACAGAAGAATGGAGAAGAATATACCATGGGAGTATATGGACATGGCATAAGAAGTAAAAACGGATCTCGGGTAGTATCTTTTGCTGTCGAAAATAAATTAAGTATCCTAAACAGTTTCTACAAAAAGAAAGCATCTAAGAAATGGACTTGGATTTCTCCTAATGGCCTATACAAAAACGAGATCGACTATATCATGTCTAACAATTTAAAAGTTTTTAAAGATTTATCTGTCTTAAATAATTTTAATTTTAACTCAGACCATAGAATAGTTCGAGCAAAGTTATCAGAAGCACATGCTAAAAGACCACGAAAATTCCACAACAGTATAAAAGCTATTGAATGCACCGGTGATACTGATCTACTTCTAAATAATCTTGATATAACATTTCAATGTGGTGAAAAAGGAAATAAATATAAATCGATACATGAAAAATACAACAACTTACTTCAACAATTAAAGTTAGAAACGAAAAAAGTAAATATGATTAGTAAAGCAGAAATATCATTGAAAAGTAAGCAATTATTACAAGAACGGAAAGAACTCATACAACTTGGGAAATATAATAATGAAAGGTCTCATAAGATAGCAGAAATAAGTAAAGAAATTAGTAAGCAACTCAGAAAAGAACGAAAAACAAAAAGATTAACAACATTAAAAAAACATATAGAAAAGACAGGAGGAATAAGGAAGGCGATAAAGGAATTAAACTATAAAAAGGATTGGATTTCCAATATGAGAAAAAAAGACAAGGAAAAGACCAGCAATCGATCAGAAATACTAGAAGTAGCAACAGATTATTATAAGAAATTATACCAAAGTGGTAAAGGCGAACAAGTAACAGAGACATATAACCCAGTAAATAAAGAAGCGGTTTCGCCGATTCTAAAGAAAGAAACTATAAAATCTATCGAATCCCAAAAACTAGATAAATCACCTGGATCAGATCTAATTACTAACGAATTATTAAAAACAACGTTACCCGTAATGGCTCCTAAACTTACAGACTTGTTTAATGAAATCCTTGAAACGGAAGTCATCCCGGAGGATTGGACCAAATCGACAATCGTACTGCTGCATAAGAAAGGTGACAAGGACAATATAGGAAACTATAGACCGATCAGTTTAATATCTAATATTTATAAAGTATTTTCAAAAATCATATTAAACAGAATATCCAATACACTGGAAGACAATCAACCTAAGGAACAAGCTGGTTTCCGAAGCAAGTTCTCAACTATAGATCATATTCACACTCTCAGACAAATTCTACAAAAGTATAGTGAATACAACAAATCATATTACATAGGGTTTGTAGACTTCAGCAAAGCATTCGATACTTTGGAACATGATTATATATGGGACGCTCTAAATAGACAAGGGGTTCAAGAAAAATACATACGAATAATTAAAAATGTATACAAAGCAAGTACAGCAAAGGTTAAACTTGAATCAACAGGTAGTGAGTTTCCTATTAATAGAGGTGTACGTCAAGGAGATCCTATATCACCTAGAATATTTTCAGCAGTGCTAGAAATGATTTTCAGAAATCTGAACTGGAAAAATGGCCTCAACATAAATGGCGAATATCTCAATCACCTACGCTTCGCTGACGATTTGATTATATTTTCAGAAGACGCCAGAACTCTGGAAATAATGTTACAGCAACTATCCTGCGAAAGCATTAAGGCCGGCTTAACAATGAACCTAACAAAAACCAAAATAATGACGAATTCTCAACAAATACCCAACGAACTGTTCATAGTAAATAACGAAGAAGTAGAATTTGTAAAGGAGTTTATATATCTGGGCCAACTCATATCTATAGACGGCAGCATGAATAAGGAAATAGAACGAAGAATAAATAATACTTGGAAAAAGTTTTGGTCTATGAAGGAAATATTTAAGGATAAAGATATGCCAATGACAGCTAAGAAGAAAGTATTCGAAGTATGCATTATACCATGCTTGCTATACGGATGTCAGACATGGGCTTTAACAGAGTTACAAGAAAAAAAACTGCAAGTCTGCCAGAACTCAATGGAAAGAAGCATCTTGGGTATAAAGAGGAGAGATAGAGTAAAATTGCAAATAATTAAGGAAAAGACTAAATTTAAAAATGCACACAAAGCCTACAGACTGCTTAAATGGCGTTGGACAGGACATATGTTCAGAGAAAAAATAGAAAAATGGAGTAGGTTAATAACAGAGTGGTATCCAAGGGATGGTAAAAGAAAGAGAGGCAGACAAAACAAACGATGGGAAGATGACATACGGAAGATAGCTGGCCCAGTATGGAACCGATTAGCGAGAGACAGGAATAAGTGGAAGTCTTTAGAGGAGGCCTTTGTCAACAGACAAGCTGTTCAACACAAGCAACCAGTTGCCGATCATTTTAATATAAAGTAGAATTTAAATTTAGTTTTTTAGCAAGTAGGCATATTATGTTAAGCTATTTTTGTAAAAAGAAACAGCAATAAAGGCTTATTATTATTATTATTATTATTATATACATAAAACAAGCTGAAGCGAAGTCAGAAATAAATTAAGTATTAAGTATATACAAAATAAAATAAGATGTTAAGAAAAAATAAATGCCATTAATCTAGAGATACTTACGCTCAAGAAAGCATGTATAAGATCAGCTTTAACAGTTGCCAGCGGTTTCCCCTTGACGAGGGCAGTGAAGGTTTCCTCCTTATCAGCAGATAGCAGCAGGGATCCGAACCAGGACCGCTTCGTTAGTTCCGGGGAACTCTCGGGCGTTAGGTGGACCTCTTCTGATGACGCTGAAATAAAAGGGCTTTTGAAGAAAACGCTTAGGACTCGAACAAACTCGTATTTTGAAACTCGACGGGCTCGTTGGTAATTTTAGCAATAGTACGACTAAAAATCGGGTCGTGGGTTCGGTCGCGTTTCAGTTTGTGGATTTCCGAATATCCAAAGCCAAAATAGGTCGACAGCGCATCTTGTTCAGAAGGTTTTGGGTGGGGGGAAACCTACCATCGAGTGAACTCCTAAAATCAATCATTTTTATAATATCATAAAAAAAAACTTACTTTGCATCTTCCTCCTATGGAAACGAGGTGAGCCGAGGAAGGAATTCTTGATGGTGGCGAGTCTGGCGCGCCATGGTGCCGCCGCCCCCGATGATGAAGCGCCTCCGGGCACTGGGGAAATGGGGAGTATTATAATAAAAACTTAAACTATGACTTCAATAAAAAGACTTGTGAGAAGTCCTACCGTTGAAAAAACATTAACGAAAGCTGAAATATAAAAACTATTGTCATATTAGTTCTACCAAGTTTATTGTTTTGAACAAATAATATCCGAAATAGACAGACACAAAAATATTTATATTATGTCCATTTATATTTATAGGAATTTAATTTATTAATGTACTATTAAGAAGAATACATATTTATATGCCTTACCCGCTATAGTTCCAAGATTCGGGAACAAAGATGTCTGCGCAGGCGACTGTGCCGTGGGACCGGGAAGTGATGATCGCTCACGCACTGAGATCATACAGGATTATTATTATCTTGTTAAATAAATATTAGTTTTTCTAATACAGCCCGTCGTTTCTCCTCGTGACCACGGCTGAATATATAAATTAAAAATAATTCACCGTAAACCGTTAAAAGTTTATTTAAAAACATTATTAAAAAAAACTATACATAGTGAATATACAAAGAATAAAATATAGTAAAATAACAAAGAAATTGTTAACAAATAGAACCTATTTTATTATTTAAACCATTTATGGGTACAATGCAAAATGTATTAATTTAATATTTGTTATAATCATATAATTAAATTTAAATAAATTATCGTAGTTCAAAATTAAATCTCACAGACACATCTTAAAATATTTTTTATATATTCTTTTATGCCTTCACTTTCTTTGTTTATACATTTGTACAAATGTTCGCCGGGCATGTTAACTATATGCCACAGATCACCCGTTACAATATATAACTATACCCTATGGGCCTATACCTATACTCTTACCCTACTATATAACTATATTATATGTGTTCCATTAAATAACTTTTCTATATATGTTTGTTTCCCTTTGATTAATTGTTGTTTTTTTAAATAAAAAAGTTAGAGATTTATTAAGCATAGACAGAGAAGAATAATCAACTCGAATTATTAAATTAATTACCTCTGTGTGAATGAGACGGACTGTGCGGTCTCACAGCGACAGACGAACCGACCATCGGCGATTCGTTTATAATTATTACCGCTTCTCCGGGTTCGCCGCCTGGAAATAAACAATTTTATGTATAGTATACACAGATTAATGTTACGAGAGAAAAGAAGAAAAAATAGTTATGCTTTAAACACAACACTTAATTAAACAGTTATGAACTAAAAGAATATTTATTTCCATAAAAAAATATTAAACGGATTGCATCGCAAACTATATTACTTAATGGATGTCTTACCACACCAAGGGAAAAATACCAGTACTATTATTTCGTGAAATTGAATTTCACATGGGCCAAACAAAGGCCACCTCGACCGGAATAATTTTTGTTTCCCCTGAATTAGATCCTAGAAAATTCCATACAAAGGCGCTCCAACTTGTTCATAAGGACATATAAGAAATATACCACTCGCGTAAACTATACAACTAATTCGCTTGCTTCTTGCTGTCCTTTGTTTATGACAGAGTAAGACAGAAAAGCGTGAGATTCACTAGATAGAAGGTGAAATAAAATCTCAATAAGATTTGCATAGTTATTTTGGATTTGAATTTTCGGAAATCCATAGACTAAATCCAAAATATCATTAAAATTCTTCCTTTTTCGTCTGTGGTCTCTTGTCCAGGGAACCTAGAGTTATAGACAGTAAATGACAAATATACTTACTGATATTTAAACTGATCGTAGGTCCAGTTGAGTTAGCTCGTTGATGGTGATGTTCACGAACCGATGGCGATGCTGTAACATACATTGAAATTCACCATATGCATCAGTGTCATCTAATGACATCATTTCGCTAAATGTCATAAGATTATAATCGTCAATTGTCAACACGGTAGCTCAATTGGCAGAGAATAAAGACGTCAGCTCAATTGGCGGAGAAACAACAAGGTAGCTCAATTGGCAGAGAATAAAGACGGTAGCTCAATTGGCGGGGCATCAGCCCGTAGAGGGGTTCGAGACCCCTCCCGTGTCATATTTTTATCGAAAATGAATTGTACATTTATATAAGTACAAGTAAATATAAGGAAAGGACATCTTATATGGGCAATGAAATCTAAAAATCTAAAATATCTTTCAAAACCAATTTTTTTTCTAGTGGGTAGTTTACAATATTTTGATACAACATCGAACTACGTTTAAAACTATGTTAGAAATGCTTAGAAACCAATGTTGTTACAAAGCTAGCAATATACTACTATAATTTGGTTAATTCAGTTTCATATTTACTATTAAAATTGCAGTTAATAAATCATAAAGAAATACCCACATTTATTTTTACTTCAGAAACATTTCCTACTTATAAATATAATTACCTAGGGGTGATCCAGGCGTCGCCGGGGTGCCTCCTAAAGAAGATACCCGGTGTGGCGTGTGTCCTGCTTTAGATAAATTTCATATTCAAATTTGTTTTATAAATCAATTTTCTCTTTTAACATCTACACAGATGTGCTCTCGACCTATTTTGACTTTGCATATTCAGAAAATGTTATGAGGTCTGAGCTTATGTTTTACCTCCCATCAAGGAAACCCCACTTTTTACTGGTCTTTAAAAGAAGAAAATAAGCTATTTATATAAAAATAGTCACTAACCAGGAGGACTTGCCGATAGCTGGGGGGAGTTTCTCCCTTCCGTTCGCCTACTGGAAGACCTGCTGTGACAAAACCTGCCCTCAATATTCATATTAATTACAAGGTCCAATATATACACAGATTATGTCTCATTTATTCTGAAATTATACAATAAATGATAATTTAAATAAAACATGTTTAATGGTTTAAAATGCAAACATTTATTTTTAAAAGGGGGGTGGGGGGTATAGTAAGATATCTCGTGTATTTATATTTTCATCAAACGCGCGATTTTTAAACAAATGGTGTAGACATTTTTATTATGGTCCTTAATTTCAGAATAAAATAAGATTATAGTTTATACCTGTATTTATATAAAGATATGTGTATAATCACGTGATATTGAGAAGGGGGGGGGTCTTAAACCTCACTACGTATCACCAATGGGGGAGGGGGGTTTAAAAATTCTAAAAAAAGGTCACGTGATGAATGGACAACCCCTTAGGGGATTAGTGTTTTATTTAAATGTCAACTATTACAACTATTTGAGTGAGCTACAGACAAAATCTAATACAATAATTACCTGAACTGCGACCTTCTTGGTGTGATTGGTGACCCTTCACTTATCTGTCCAAAATGTGCTGATTGACCATTCACCTGGATTATTGAAATTCAATTAGAAATAAAAAAGGTAGAAAAAAATCAGTTTTTATTCATTATCAAACTAACATTTTAATGAACTAATTGAATTGAATCTTACTAATAGATTAAGCATCTATGTGTATTATTAAATTACTTTCTTGAACACTCATAAACCTGTTTTCTAAACGTCATGAAAAAATATGGTAGAAGTGGGTCTCAAACCTTCAGCCACAAAGTTTAGTCATATTGCTACCATGAGCTTTATAAAATGAGGTAAAATTAACTTCACAAAAGTATGAGACACTTATAAATTACAATAGCACCTATTATGAGTTTCCTTCTCCTTCACGCAAAAACTACTAACTAGTGAATCTGGTAAAACTGACTGTAATGTCAAAATGCCACGCTATTGTAGCTAGGTATACTCACTCGACAAGTATCGAGTCGTTTCCGCGGCGGATCAGTGGGTGCCGCCAACGCGGGGGGTCTTGGTTCATCGTCACGTGCTGGTCTACGCCGTTTTCGCTCCAATAAAAGAAAGTATATCACTTTCTCTGTGTTATGGCTGAAATTAGAATATATTCACATGTAGATATTTACAAGGTGGAGCTGGGCTTATAACATTAAATTTAGCCTTGGAAACAGGTAGAGCAAATGTGTAGATTAAATATTGTCTGTAGTGAATACATAAGTTGTTTAATTTCACCGCACCTTTGATGGCAAACCAGCACGGGCTCTGCAGTTAATTATGTTTATCATTCTTAGTGCCAATTCATAAAAAACTACTTGGCTGATTTTAATAAACCTAACTATTACAAAATGTGATAAATCTTGCAGCGGTTGGTCCATGATGTTATCAGGTAAGGCTTTATTAATAACCTTTAGTAAACCGGGACTGGGTGAAGATATTTTAGGTGTATTAAAATAGTACTAACATTACAGTTCTGTCTATTACTAAAACAATTTAATAGTGTTCTCTTTTCCCCACAATCACTACACAGAAGTGAGAATCAGTGAATGTAAATTACTTCTACATACCTTATAACAAAGGTACGTAGAGATAATTGAGGTACTTATTACACTAATAGGTATACTTACTGTGAACTAAGCAAGTCCTGAATCAGTTTATCCCTATGCTTGAAGCAGCCCAGGCTACATATAGCTTGAAGTACATCTGGATCTATAGCTTCAGCCGATGGTAGAACTCTTGTTTGAACCACCTCCATCATGGGTAATTCTTGCTCAAGTTCCCCTCGACCACCAGCTGTTACCCATGGATGTCGGGTTATTTCTGCTAGCTGAAAATATTGCAGGTTCATAATTTAAATCCTATACTTCTCATCTTAGTAACAGTAGTCGGTATGTACATAATAAAATCATGAAAATCCAAGTATGTATTAGTTATATAATAGAGAGTTAATAGAATGAAAGAATTATTTTAAGTGTAGTATAAGTTATATTCTAATAAAACTTATCTGTATCTCTAATAATGGTGTCAGCAATTAAATGTATAAGTAAGATACATACTGTCATTCTTTTCTCAGGATTCACCTCGATCATTCCTCTCAGCAGTTGTTGACAATCGGGAGGCACAAAATGTGGCACATGAAACACTCCACGCTTCACCTAATAACGTAAAGTTCAAATTACATTATATAGTATACATTTTAGATCTGAATTAAAAGTAATGGAAGTTAAAAAAGCGAAATTTGTGTGATTACTCCATGTACACAAGATCCTGAGATAGACTTAAGGAACACTAAAGTATGTTTCATAATTATAATATATTTTTAGAAGTATTATTATTTTTTAAGAATTAAACAATTCACCTTTTCAAGAAGTTGTCTTAAGTTATCGTCGTCGAATGGTAGTGCACCGACGAGGAGGGCGTATAAAATAACGCCACAGGACCAAACATCAGCCCTCCTGCCATCATATTTTTCTCCCTGTAATTGAACATTAAAAGTAAGAATATGCAAAACGTTCTTTTTTTCTTGTCAATCCAATTTTTAATGTTTATTATGAAAACAACAAGTGTCCTTGAAAATATAGTTTATATAATTTTGGTATCATTGAACACAGATGACACAGGCTCTATAATTATATATTAATTTACTAAGTGCTATATTTATTTCAATAATTTGAAAAAAGATGTTCAATAAATTGAAAAAAATATATCTATATAATGTAACATTTGATAAGTTAGATATATTTCATAAAATAAATGATATAAGTAGTAATATTTTACAAATTGCAACTCCATGGAGGACTGTCAGAACTATTATAACACGACTATGTTAAAAGGACAAGATACGTCAATGAAGTCTATTTAAAATGAGACGTAAATATAGAAATCGTTAATGACAGAAAGAGAAGTTTGTCAGTTACAATCGTTACAGCTACCATTTTAATTTAATTACATATTCATATACAAACCGAGCGACCGTTGCTTTGATTTTTTCTTAACGTTTTCAACCGTCGAAAATATTTTCGAGAAAACCAGTGTTATAATTTGAGCGCGTGTGTTTTTAGTGAAAATGAAGTCTGCTAAATCTAAAACACGACTAAACGATATGCGAACACCGTCCAGAAGTAAACAAAACTTATTCCAAGAAGACCGAGACCCGGTTCATGTATATTGTCGACTTCGACCTATGCAGAATGAAAACGATATTTCGTGTATAAATATTCTCTCTCCGACAACAATAGTTATGGTACCACCGCCCACAACAGTAAGTTATAGAAATGAGAACAGCAAATCAATGAAATACACTTTCAAAGAAGTATTCCCGCCAGAAGCTAATCAGCAAGAAGTCTTCGATAAAGTGGCGTTTCCTCTCGTTGACGGCTTACTTAAACAAAAGAACGGCTTATTATTTACCTACGGAGTCACTGGCAGTGGCAAAACATTTACAATGACCGGTGATACACATAACTGTGGCATCTTGCCTCGATGTCTCAACGTTATATTCAAGACGATTAACGATTTACAAGCACACAAGTATGTCTTTAAGCCCGATAAAATGAATATGTTTGATGTTCAGTCTGAGGCAGAAGCTATGCTAGAGAGGCAAAAAGAATTGCACAAATTTAAAAGTGGGCGAAAAAATAATTCTAATCCTGATTTAGCCATGTCAAATTCAGATTTAACTAAAATAGAGGGTATTAATGAAGATAACCAGTATGCTGTCTTTGTTACATATATAGAAATATACAATAACAGTGTGTTTGATCTACTGGAAGATGGCCCTCCAAGTAGAAGTCTATCTACTAAAATGATAAGAGAAGATGCATCTCATAAGATGTATGTGCACAGTGTTACAGAAATAGAGGTAAAGTCGGCTGAGGAAGCTTTTGAAGCATTTTATTTAGGATTAAAAAGAAAACGGATGGCTCACACAAATCTCAATGCTGATTCAAGTAGAAGTCATTCAGTTTTTACAATAAGACTGGTGCAGGCACCTGTTGATCAAATGGGGGAAGCAGTGATTCAAAATAAGAATTCAGTAGCAATAAGTCAGCTGAGTCTTGTAGACCTTGCAGGTAGCGAGCGTACAAACAGAACGCAGAATACCGGAGACAGGTTACGAGAAGCTAGCAACATTAATAAATCACTCATGACACTTAGGACCTGTTTAGAAATGCTAAGAGAGAACCAACTCAATTCAGCCAAAAATAAGGTACCATACCGTGAGTCAAAAATCACACACTTGTTCAAAAGCTTCTTTGAAGGGAAAGGCCAAGTGAGAATGATTGTCTGTGCTAATTCAAGAGCGGAAGATTATGATGAAACACTACAAGTAATGAGGTTTGCAGAATTGGCATCTGAAGTTGAAGTTGCAAAAGCTCAAGTGAATGATATAGCATCCACATTAGGTCTTATGTCTGGACGCCGAAAGGCAAACCGCCTATTTCACATGGCTAGAGATAAAATAGAGAGACCTGAGGCTAAAGAATTGGAAATAGATTTAGGTCTTGTTTATAGTCTAGGCCCTGACTTCCCTAGCCTCGAGTTGAATAGTTCCCAGGCAGCTCATATAATTAAAGAACTAATGGCTCACCTGGAAATGCGAATCAGCCGCCGAGAAACGCTCAAAAGAATTCTTGCTGTGAAAGACGAAAAGTTTCGTTCTGCATTGCTTGACCTACAAAAAGATGTCTTAGAACTGAGTAGTGAAAACGCGTCTTTAAACGCCCAGTTGTCCACTGAAAAACGTCGAAACCAAGTATTCGAGGAACGTCTGACTAGAACTGAAAATGAAGTCTTATCATTCCAGAAGAAACTCACAGAAATGACTGAATATTCTTCAACTCTAAAACGAGATTTGCAGGAGAAGGACCTCCTTTTAAGTCAATACAAGCTAGACAAGGCCAAACAAAAGAAGCTACTAGAACGTAAATACCAGCATAAAATGGCTGCAGAACATGAGAAGGCTAAGGAAATTATCTCTGAGAAAGAAAGATTAGAAAATGCTAACGAAGAAAAGGAGAACAGACTTCGTATTATTGAAAATGCGCTGAAAGATCGAGCTGAGAAAGTGCCTCGCATAGATATGGGGGCTCAGACCAGCGTTAGGGATTTTACTCCTGGCTCCACACCAAGGGCGTTACCCGCTCACTTACTGACACCATTCAGTTCTCAGTCGAAAGAGTCATCGCACACACCACGCTCACGGCGTGGCGTAGCTGTTGCTAATCCACGACACCGTCGATCCTTATCAGCTGATGGTCGTGGGTGGGTAGAACACGCTCCTAACAAACTTGTACCCATGGGGACAGTTATGAAGCCCAGCATCGGAAACAGCAAACTTGTCAATAAACTGACAAATGTCAAAGACATTGCTAATACAAAGATTTCGAAATACTGTCTCATTTCCCAAGAACAAGACACTGATGGGGAGTTAGAAACAAAGCTTTATAAGGGGGATATAGTTCCAACGTGTGGTGGTGGGGCACAAGTGATATTCAATGATGTCGAAATGTTGAAGCAATTTTCACCCACAAAGGATAGGGAGTCGACCTCAAACAGGACATCGGGTTGTGCTCGACATTCTGGAAAACGGAGGGACACTGCCTGCTCACCCCCGCAGACGCCTTCAACAAGTAAAAAACAGAGGGTAGATGATGATTAAATTATTATATTTCATTAACTTCTGAAATATTCTTTTAAAGTTAGTGATCATTATTAGAAATATTTAACGATTTCTTAGTCTTAAGATTTATTTTGTATGTAACAATTTACACTTACCTAAATCTGACTTACCTACTTTAGGTTTTTTCAAAGACCTGCTTTTTATTAATTCCTAATGCAACGTGAAATTGAAAATCCAAGACTATTTCAGAAGTCAAACTGAGTGATTTTTATTTTCTTCATTCAATCATTACTGCATCATATTATATGCTAAGTATTACATATTTATTTGCTCAATAGCTCATCTAAGTTCATATGGGGAAGGTTTGTAATTTTCATTAGTACAAATTTTACTGTGGTGGATCATGGTCTGTGTGCTTACTGGTACTTAAAAAAGATGATTTTCAAAACATTTTGATTCTATTTTTTTATTTGATTGATTTTATATGCATATATAACATTACAGGATGTTCTAAGTATCGCTGCTTTTTAACAGCTGCAGCAACATCCCTCGAAAGAGCTTTGGAAATTTGACAACGTGAATAGGCAGAGCACCTTATTTTGCTTTTTAATTAAACTGTTCAGTAGTAAAATTCCTTTAAAAACTTACTTCATCCCTTTCGTTGACGGCTTACAATATTAGTTTAGTTAGGGTCACTGTGATCTTCTTGTGATTCTTTTGTACTTAACAAAAATCTTACTATTATTGTAATTAAGTTCTTAGTAATATATTTTCCTATAACTAAGTTAGTTGTTGAATATCTGATAAAAAAATAATGTCGTTTAGATACGTTATTATTACCCAACAACGTAATTAGATTCATATTTTTCGTGTGTATTATTAATATTTGTTTTTGATTGAAAATGTTGAAATTTCTTTGTTGTTTCATTAAAGAGAACTCATTATAATATGTACTTTATAATGGTCAAAATGGATATAACCTCTGTTTAAACAACAATAGTCAGAGCCACTATGTACCTCGTAGTTTAGTCATAAAGGTTTCTTTTGTGAAACATAATTTTTTCGTTACATACTAAAATTAAGTGGGTGATATCATATGTATGGGTAGTTGATAGACTTGTAAATATGACGGTAGTTTAGTATTTAAACACCAAGATACAGCGTTAACGGAACATGTGTTATTCATTTAATGATAATAATCAGTACAAAATTTCTTTGTTGTTTTAGTTTAACTACCCACATATTTAATTTACATTAATTGTTAATACTTTCCGACGTTGATTGTTCTGTCAGCAATCGTGGTATTTTGGATTTTGTAAAGCTTCTTTATGTACCGCGGAAAGACAAAAGTAAAATAAATCTTTGTCATGCGGAAATCCTGCGTCCTTACATTTAAAATGTATTTTCATTTTTTAATAAATAAGTGTATATTATGTGACATTGTTATTTTACCTGTAGTTTAGTCTTTTCTTAATCTCAATGGATGTTTACAAATAAGAAATTAATGCCATTTTGTCCACAATAAACCGTTTAAAGCTAGATCTAAATCTCTCTATACTTTTTTTATAATAGAGATCGCTAGAGGCAGAGTAGCCTAACTGCTATTTTATGACATGACTTATTTATATTTTCATAGTCTAAAAATGTACCTAAATCTACAAGAGCACAGCGGCCGACCCTTGTTAACACAATTCTTACACAAATAATATTATAATACTAAATTCATTTTCGCCTAAGTTTAATGCGTATTTTTATTTTCCACCTAATTGATAGTCATGATTTTTTATTTGGCCACTGGGTCTAGAAGCCTCAACTCATAGATACCTTTGAATAAAACTTAGTGTAGTTAAACTGTTTAGTCAGTAAAAAAAACATTGACTTCTTACCCTTATAACTTCTGGGCAAGCATAATGTGGGCTACCACACGAAGTTTCCAATAAGGAACCGGCAGGCTGTAGCGACGCCATACCGAAATCTGCTATTTTGATGTTGTTCCGCTCATCAAGGAGCAGATTTTCTGGTTTCAAGTCTCGATGGCTGTAAATATGGTAACTGTTCAAGAGATATATCCACTACATAACGAAAACCTACGCTATACAAGGCTAATAACCCGATATTCTTCATAGGTAACGAAAAAGGACCGCCTCTGTAGCTTAATGGTCAAACATGTTGCCTATCATTGTTTTAAACTTGAGAGGTCCCGGGTTCGAATCTCGAAGAAACAATATGTTGTTTCGATCGGGCAGGGCATTCGACCTAAAAATAATAACGATGTTTGATGCTGTTTGTTGGGACAAAAAAAGCTGGTGACTATCAAAATGTAACCGTGTATCAGGTATCATAGTTTTGGGTACGTAAATCATCGTTCTTCGTATGATACAAGTTCCTAGCAATTGTTAATATTTATTTAATAGTACAAAGCCTAGTGTATTGAAGGCACATAAAAATAGGCTAGGTCTTACCAAATAGAATGACTATGACAGAAATCCAGCGCGGAGATGATTTGTCTGAAAAATCTTCGGGCTTCTTTTGGCGTCAGTCTGCCTTTTTTCACTAAATAGTCGAATAATTCACCCCCGCTTACGTGTTCAAGCACCAAATACCTGCAAAATGATATAATTAAATCAGAAACTTGGACTTGGTTGAGCAGAAAAAGTATGCTATCATTATTGTGATTTAATTTAACTTAAAACTTGCTAGATAAAAGCTTTTCTATTTTTTATAAAATTACTTTTATGATATTAACAAATTGTAGGTAGTTAGTAAATTTTTGAACAGGCAACTGGTTAAAAAAACTGAGAAGTAGGATATATAAAACTTACTAGGCACTTCGAGCTACTTTTGAAATATATATGTAACTAATATATCGCGTTTTAAACCGTTAAAGTGTTTTATTTAAATGTGTACTACTCGCGTAAACTATAGACAGTATTTATATATGTAATTGTAAATAAAAGCAACTTTAAAGTATATATTTTATACAGTATATTTTTGGAAAGTAATATTGAAAGAATACTGAGATCTGGTCTTCTATTGTTTTTAAGAAATATGGCTAAAGTTGCATACTCATAAGATACTCACAAGTATTTCTTATTCTCGTAAACGTCAGATAATCCTAGTACATGTGGATGTTCTATCAATTTCATAATCGCTATCTCTCGTTCCACCTGAAAATATTCAGAATTATGATTAAGATTTCATTTTTGAAAACTGTTATCTATAACTAGTGATAGGCTAGCATATTAAGATGTTCTTCAATAATTGTCGTCTAGAACTTAATTCTTCTATGGTATACAAAATGGTAAATAAGCAAATCCACCTATTTCCGCTAAAGACATCAACATTTTTTAGACAGGAGGCAAAAGAGAAGCGTGCCTTATAACATTTCAGATGCGATGTCGACCTATGTTTGCTTTAATATATTTTTTTATAACAATAAAGAATATTCGCTTTTGAAACAAGATAAAAGCAGCTTGAAGATCTATATAGTCGAATTATTTTTGCTTTGATTATTCCAAATTCTATTTCAAAACAAGAGACGTTTTACCTTCATAAGCACAGATTCGCTAAGTTTCTCCCTATTTATTATTTTAATGGCCACTTTCTTTCCCGTTACACAATGCACACCCAGCTTGACGAGACCTGAAAAAGGAGATACAATTTAATATATAACACAAAACAATAAATATCAATTTCGTAAAGTACATAAGTTTACAAAACTTTGAAACTTATGTCTTTTCCCGACAACTGCATTGCATTTCATAATTCTACGAATCTTTAGGATTTATATAGAGTTGTTAAATATTACTTTCACACGCCACTTAAGTTTTTTTTTAATCTATACTAATATACAAAGCTAAAGAGTTTGTTTGTGTGTTGTTTGGAGGATTTATCGAGGAAGGCTACAAGACATTGCGATGCGACGTAGAAGTAAGATTAACTTGCAAGAACGATGGGACGCGGACGACATCGTGGGTATAATAACAGCTATAATTTATAAAGATGTGGAGGAGGTTTGCAAAAACTTCTATTTACTTGCTAATAATAAAAATCTATATTGTTGCTATGTTATATTATAGCTATAATATATATTAAAAACCGCTCTATAATGATTAAATTTCTATAATATTTAAAGACTGTGCTTTGGAGGTAAACAACTTAGATGCTTCACACATTTTCTTTGTAATTTTCAAAATACGTGCATTTCTATTGAAATTTCATATAACATTCCAATGCTACTAGGAAAGATGAAAAATATCAAACGAAAAATTCTCAATTGGTTTCGAAAGTGGGTCACGATATCCGTCAGATGAAATTCGATTTCGCGTGTGGGGAGCCGTGACAACCAATGTAGTTATTATTGTGGCTATTTCTTTTTAAATATTTATTTTCACATAAAGCCTAGTAAATTGAACAATATATCGGTAAATCGGACCTTATAGTCTTTAAATTTTAACGTAGTTTAATAATACTTACCTATACTAGGATATGATGGTGATATGATGATATGATGGTGGTCGCGACATTAATAAGAGAAAAGATTAAAATTATATTAATTATATATATTATATGTATAATTAATATAATTTTATACCTATATAAAATATATATATACCTATAAATATTAACGATTTAAAACGCGATATATATTAGTTAAACTTGTTTACTAATGTATTACTTATTATTATTAATTACGGCCTGACGTTACGGATACTTAGCAGTAGGACAAATAAAACAAGTTAAGTTTTTTTAAGTGTTTTATTTTACGTGTTAATGCAGTTATTTATAATTTGAATTATTCAAAACAACCCTAGCCCATTTCGATCTGCCGGTCCTTAACAAATGCAGTGTGATGTTTTGATGCGCGACACAGTGACACAGTGTCATGGCCAACGTGTTCCAATGTAGACAATCCAATTACTGTCAACCTAAGTGCGTCTGACTCTATTTTAGCACGAAAACCCTTCAAGTGCGACACAAACGCGAACAAAAAGGGGTCTGTAGTGTAAAAGCTATGTAAACAATGAAGAGGTATTTCTTGATGAATTCTAATGCTTTAACGAGAAACAAAAATAAGACCCATGACGATGGCAATTCTGTATTTATTTATTACAAAAAGACTAACTGGAGAGACTTGTAACGTTCTAAAACGTATTTTTTTCTTCGTTACGACGTTTAGAGCTGAAAAAGACCAGTGGTCACGGGGTAATGTAGATTAAAATCTATTACTATTACTAATAACATATTGCGTTTGAAACCGTTGAAAATGTTTTATTTAATGAATCCACGTAGACTACTTGATGCGAACCGTTGAATATGTTATTGTTTCTAGTTTGATTCATATTGTAAATTACATGTGAACAATATAAGTAACGACTATACGTGGAATTATAAGTATAATTTTAGTAAAGATATTTTAAAATAGTAAAACGGACCACCATCCTCATCTCTCCGTTAAAAAAAAATCGGTCGTAGCAGCTCTACGTAAATCCTAAGAATCATGAACAACAGTCGTTAGGTAAAGGATACATCACACTCAATCAAAATGAAGATTTTGATCAGGTAAGAGGTCTTTTGGTAACAATTAAATTAGATAATGTCTATAGTTTACGCGAGTAGTACACATTTAAATAAAACACTTTAACGGTTTAAAACGCGATAAATTAGTTAAGAAATTGTAGGTAGTAGGTAACTAATATATCGCGTTTTAAACCGTTAAAGTGTTTTATTTAACAATTAAATTGCTTAATATAATTATTATATGGGCAAATTGCCTTTTTGCAGCAGTTTTATGCTTATCCTCATTACGAGGGTAGTTGGTAAACCGACGGTAGATTATATTGGTGCTATTGAAGCTATGCCTCCAAGCATAACCGTGGCGGGCATGACAGAAAGACGAGTCGCAGATGTCAATGGTATAAACATGAGTAAGTAGAGTTAAAATAGAAATTAAAATGCCACGTTCTTCTAGCGTTCCTTGTATTAAAATCGATCAGGAGTAAGAACGAAATGGGACCGCCCTCCAGTACATTGAACTTGGAAAACTGTTCTGTATTAACTATTAACTTGGCAGTATTTTTGTAGATTCGTTAATATGAATTCATTTTAATGATAGAAACAGATGAGCATGAGGTGGGTGATCACTTGATGGTAGGTGATGAAAGATACGCTATTGATCTATTTTGGCTTTATTCGGAAATCCACAGAATGAAACTGCAACGTGATTAAACTTCACGGCTTCTTCATGTGTGGTTCTTGACCCTGACGGAATTCCGATATTCCTATTATTAATATCTAGATTTCATGTTACAGAAAAATTATAAATTGATTTAAAAAGTGCTGGACCTGGTGGGGATCGAATTGATCATTACAGTGCATACATTACACCAATGAGCTGTCAAAAGTTTTTTTTTATATCTAAACAATTATAAATAATAGTTACGAAACTTTTTTACCCCCTTTCGCTTTTTTCTTCCAATATTATAGTCATTGCATCAAAGCTAACTAAATAATTTAATATTTACAGATCCCCTAACAAATCCGCTGTTCCAAGTTATTTTAGATGAGACAGACAATAAAAGGAGAGTGCAACGTTACAGAGATACATTCTAATCGAAGATTAAAAATAAATTCTATTTATTTTTTTTTTATAGAAAACGTTCAGGTCATCCGAGATAAATCACGAACGAGGTCACATTATATAGGGGTGTGTGAAAAAAAACATGACGTTTAAATAACGTAAAACTATTCACTTTATCTTTAGTAGAATTTACGTAAAAAATTTTAGTAATTTGATAGTCGATAAACTTTTATTGACTGTTTCATACTGTCTGTAGTTTACGAAAGGCAGGAAATGAATGGTTTAAAACGCGATATATTATATTAGTTAAACTTAAAAAATAAAATTAATGTCGTAATAGTTTTAAACAATTGTCAGATAAGTTTAACTAATAAATATCGCGTTTTAAAGCGTTAAAGTGTTTTAAAAATCTTCTAAACGTGTATTGTTCCAAAAATTATGTAAGTAATGTATTATAGAAGAAAATACATTGTTATATTATTGTTTTGTTTTTCTAATTGAGTATTCAATTGATGTGCTTGTTCAGCTTCAGTTGTTGACTAACTCGTGTTGGTGAAGCAACATGAGCAATGCAAAAGTACTACCCACTATGTTGTTCGCGTCTCGTTGTCCTTGCGAGATCCTCATAAAAAATAGACTTATACTGTCGCACACATTTTTTCAGATCAATTTAAAGAGGAACCATTCCATCATACATAATTTTTGGTTTCTTGAACCGTGTTTGCAGTGCACGGAAGCCGTCAAAAATGAATAATTTTCCGCGTTTTATATACCAATGTTTCTTTCCTTCTTTTGATCGCAGCGGGGTATAAAGCCATCTTCAATAAATGCTCTAACACAGAAAAAAATTCAAATGGAACCAGCAGTTCCGGAGATTAAAATAAACAAACGAACTCTCTTGCTTTAGAAGCCATCACATGAATAAGAAATTACATTTCCCTTCAGGGGAGTAACTTACCAGTTTGCCCCTTGCCCAGGGTCTTTTCGAGCCGAAATGGCCCCACATACTGGTAGGCCTCCGGGGCCGAAGTGCCACCCTCCATTTTGTTTGTCAAAGCGTCATGTCGCAAACCATACGAGGTCTCTCAGTTCTCCTTGGACGGCCATGTTAACTGAAATACAAAAAAGGTTTAATACAATACAATATTATAAACGCTTCCTCAATAAGTAGGCATCGATTGAGTTCCCTGCAACATGCAAATGAATAACAATAAATGGATAATTAGCCAAAGCCAAAATAGGTCGATAGCGCACCGTGTCTAGAGTTTATGGGTTTATATTTCAAATTCCATTAAGTTACGCTCAGGTTTATCTGTTTTCCTGTATTATAAAAAATAACTGTGCCCAATTCTAGAAAAGAAAAGATGTCTTCGGTATGTTAAATAAAACACTTTACCCGGTTTAAAACACGAAAAATATGAGGCTGTTAATTGTTGTATAACTCGACGTTTTGAAAGCCTTTAAGAAGACATCGAGGCGATAAAACGTATATGTTAACGTTTCGAAGCGGCAAAAGTGTTTTATTTAATGTGTGCTCTCGTAAACTACAGATAATACAAAAGTTTACGTTACTATTGAATTCGTAGATCTTGTTTACCTGTTAAATTGTTAGTCGATTTAAAACGCCTACCCTTTGAAAACGTAGTGAAGGACGGAAAATAAACAGCCAAGTTTTACAACAACTTGAGACGAGAGCCATTACTTGGCCTTATTTGAAAATTGACTAATAAAAGCCTTTGAGATGAGATTTCCGTGCCCTCAAGCTAATTATATGTACTGTACACACAATATAATAGCTTTGTAATAAGTTAATAAAGGAATAGGAAATTAAAATATAATTTTGGACATTACTAGGAATTTTGATCGTTTGTCTAATTTAAAATATTAATATTTGGAATTTCTAAGATAATTTTAAAGCCCGACATGTTTAAACTCCACAGGTAAAAGGCCGCGAAGTTTAATCGCATTTCGGTTTTTCGAACATTCAAAGCCAGAATAGGTCCCCATGCTTCTCTCCATCGCCCGCATTTTTGGGTTGTGTAACATGGTGAATCTAAGCTTTATAAACTCTTTCCAATGGGAATAGAGTCTTTGAACGACATTAATTGACACGGTTAGAGCAACAGCACGAAACGCTATGTATATCGTTCAAGGTCTGCCCATGTCATTTGTTTTTTAATTTATATCGATTTAAATAAAACACTTTAACGGTTTAAAACGCGATACGCCGTGGTCACGGGGAGGCAACCCGTAACCACGGCTGCTGCAAAGCATCCGAAACGTCGGGCTGAAGTTAAAAATCATTTTCAAATAAGTTTAACTAATATATCGCGTTTTAAACCGTTAAAGTGTTTTATTTAAATATGTACTACTCGCGTAAACTATAGACAGTACTTATATCGATTTCTAATTGGGAATATTTTTCTCTACCTCTATAAACAAACATATAAGTAGACTATAATAAACGCCTGGTTGTAAGTATATAAAGTAACATAGTTTTATCGTTTCAAAACTTTAAACGCGGAGCAATGTAAAAATACAAATCGGAATTAAATTTGACTTTTAAGAAGGAAAGGAGGATACAGCAGAGATCCATACAAAACTACATTAGTAACTTAGAACTAGGATTAAACTTGATATTTGAATGAGTTCTGTAAACATAAAATTTGTTAAATTTGTTTTAAATGGCAAACCACTACAGCCACTTTAGAAGTTTAAAAGTGTTTTCATGATAAGGAAGACATCTCATGGGTTCACCGAGATGAACTACTCCAGCTATATAATATCTTGATAAGATGCGATGTCGACCTTAGTTTTAGATATTCGAAAGCAGAAGCCTGAAACCGAAACGCGATTAATCTTAACAGCTTTTTTATCTGTGGACAGTGATTTGTGAGCCGGACGGAATTTCGATTTACCTCCCAAATAGTATCCAGATTTCCGGATGACGTACGATTTTAAAAAAATATATATATCGATTTGCACCATGCTGCAAATGATGGGGATGAACCCACGATCCGTTGTTAATTAGGAAACAATCGTTAGGCCAATGAACCCGTCAATAATATTTTGTTGGTGATAATATACTTGCGTAAAGACACAACTTTGTTGTATATCGCTTTAACAATGAACAAACAAAATAAGTCTGCTAATTGACTTTAAAAACAATTTTGACTTGATTACTGGACTGTTTAATAAATTCAATGAAAAGGAATTTATTAAATCTTAAATATGTCCAGTATAAGTCCTATTTTCTAGTCCTAGTTATAGATGAAAATTTTAAATATTTAACAAAACAGTAGTATACAGTTTGTAAATGAAAAATAAAATGTAGTTTTAAAGTATATTATACGGAATAATCAATATACAATATACATATTCGAACTGAAATTGGATTTTCAAGAAAACCTCTGTTAAAACGTATGGGCTTTATACCTCGCATATGGGATGTAAGCCCAGAGTAATGTGTTTGCATTCTTTTTATCAAAATGAATTTTTGGCGAAGCTCCAGAACATGCTGGTTTTTCGAATTAATTATTTTCATTTTTCACTGCAGTGACCAGCGTATTAGTATGTTTAGCGCCACGCGTTATAATGAGGTAATATTTTTTTTAAATTAAGACATTTTTTAAGAACTTCAGCACGAGAGACCTTGGGTTCGAATTCCGCCAATAAATTGTTTAGAGCAGAGTTCTGAAACGATCTACTACTTGCATGTGAGTATAATTTTACATTTTATTAAGTGAAATGGAAGTTGACATATAAGTATTCGCCCCTTGGCCCGGATAGCCAAACGAGATATCACAAAAAAACAAATACTTAAGAAAATAATAGCAACGCTGTTAACATACATTATTTATTACTATATTATAGTATTAAAAAATTATATTAATGTACTTTTAAATAAATCTAAAATTACCTAATTTTAAATTAATTAATTTAACTACGTAATCTACTGTTAATCTTGTAGTACTGGGGTATTTTTTTATTAAATAAATCTAAGTAAAATAAACTATAATATTTATTAAATACTATTTTGTATCAGTATCCGAAACTTAGTTAATAATAATTGAATATCCTCGTTTTAAATGGTAAAATATATTTTATTTAATCAAGGTAATTAAGATTATTTATGTCCTATGTTAAACAGTGACGTCAATAATTCATGAGACGTCTAACAAGAGAATTTTAAGTTAAAGATTGCAGACCAATAAATATAACATAATAGTCTTACTCTATCAAATATTCGCTGAATTTCAGTAGATTAATAAAATTAAAGTGCTTTTAGTAAAACACTTGCTAGATTCCATTTTCAAATTTAATTTCAAAGTGTACTTTTATTTAAAACGCACTGGTTTTTTTAATGAAAGGAGGATTCCAATAAAAATTATAAGCAACGTTCACTATAAAATAATACATTACCTTATAGAAACACTAAAACAACACTAAACACAGGTTCCGCATACAACGTCAGTCACAGGAAAATCAATATTTCTCTCATCACGTTTTTGAACACAAAAATACTTCACATGTTAACACATTGTTTTATTATTATTTTGGAGGCTAACTAACTTGGTAAAATTGTAAAAAATATTTTATTTTGAATAGTTACATAATTGTGGTGGTGTAAAATTGTTTTTGCTGGTTTATAGCAAGCGAGGTGCTCGGCTATGCTCGGGGGTCGTCGGGGAAAGTCGTGGAGGGTTGACTCATTTATTTTAGGGGTGGTTTTGCGTTTCGTTTTACGCGTAGCGGTGAGCGGTGAGGTGGTAAAGTTTTAAAATACATAATCTGTGGTCGAACTGTCAAAGTGTAAATTTTATCTGTGATATAATAAACTTAAACATGTTATAACATTAAAAAATAACATTCTTCTCACAAAAGATTTTCCTTTTTTATTTAAATAATATTACGTTATAATAGAATTCATTGCGCAGTGCCTAGTGCATTTTTTATTCATATAAAACACAACATATTTTTTTTTGAAATTTTTAAATTAAAGCAATATTATAGGTATGTACTCATCATTTTAAGTGCCCTTTGCACTCCATTGTAGTAAAACATTCTTGTTGTTTATAGTTTTCAATAAATCACTTTTGTATTTGACGTAATAAATTATTATGCATAAAAACATAATGCCCATTTTTGTGCATTCAAGTAAAAAAATGTCAGCATAGATCACGTTCATGAATAAACCTTAATTAATTATATCCAATTAATTCCCATTGTCTTTATTTAAATTAGTTTAAAAGTATATTCATGAGAGTGGCTTTTGCCTGCAGATGCGGAAAACCTTTTGTATTCGTGAAATTGCAAACTGTTTTATGAAACAAATGCGTTTTGCGATCTAATCACCCAGCAATAAGCAGAGCTACCTACAAATGTTAGCAGTACTTCAAACCGTTATGCCTTTCTCGGGAATAAATTTAATCACTGAGCCACAAGTATTGTAAGGGTGTGTAAGCTTGTAAATTCTAAGAGGCTTGTACATCCATTTTGCAAACTTACTTTGGTTTTAAATGATAAATGCTTCTCGACGTTTCGATCAAGTAGCTAAGCATAGTTTTTATTTAATGGAAGGTAAAATACTCCAGCTTTATTTATACCAGAGTTCTAGAAGATACGCTGTCAACTTATTTCGGCTTACGACATTTTGAAATCCAAATATCTTTAATCTCGTACTGGGGTATAAAACGTTAATGTATCTAAGGTACTTTACTTAAAGTTTATAAAAAAATCAAGTAAGGAAAAAATAAAACGCTTGTTTTTCGTTGATTACTCGACGAAAAGTTTGGTTACATCTGATAGAGAAATAGCAATGAAAAAATGTCCTAATTCAGTTTGGTAAATTTTTATCATTGTGTATATTTCTGGACGTTTAGAAGTATTGACGTAAGGTGAGAACTGTATTTTGATTACTTTTTCAATAGATTGGTAACTAGTTACTTGATGTTAAAATAATTTTATGTATTTTTGATAGTTGATAGTAGATTTATAATAGTTATGTATTAAATGACAAATTGATAAGAATATAATTCTCATTCAATAATAAGTAATAGATATAATTCTTAAATACTGTCTGTACTTTACGTGAGTAGTACCTACACATTTTTTTTGCTGTGACAGAGAGAGCATCCTAAACGTCGTGCCGTAGTTAAAATAATTTTCAAATATGTTTAACTAATATATATCGCGTTTTAAACCGTTAAAGTGTTTTATTTAAATATAATTCTTACTAAACTTTAATTATCTGGCGGTAGTTTGAATCCTATTCTGATCCTAATAATTGCCTGTTTCAGAGAAATATGAATTTCGTTACAAAAGAAAGGTACGACCTTATCATAGGTCGCTACAACAAATTCATAGAATCTTTGGACAACCTCGAAGGCGTACCCGAACCCGTATTTGACCCCCTCAATCAAAAGCAAATCGATGAGTTGAAACTCATCAGGGATATCAGTGCATATCTACAGAAAAAAAAGGATGAAGATGTAGCCAAAAATGTAAGTTAGGTACCTACATTAAAAAGTAAAAAGCACGTGTAGTGCCTTTACTTATAGGACAGACATGCTTTTGTGTCCGTTTTTCTGGTTGTTGACCTTAGAATGAATGCCATTTGAACGCTTCAGTCATATCACTGCGAAAGGGGGTAGTTTGATAAAATATATGTTAATAACGGTTATTTATATGACACTTAAGAAGATCGAGAATGTTTCTCTCTTTACGTTTTAAAATTGAACATTTTGCAAATGAACCCATAGGGAATGATCAAAAATCTTTTTAGTTGGACCCAATGTAACATGGGTAACTGCAATCCTAATCTATAAAAAATGCAATGGTGACTAGCATTTTATTTCGTTATTTTGTATATTATATAATGGTAGCAGTGTATGGCTAATAATCAACAGGTCATGGTTTCGATCCCCACCGGATCCACCATGTTTTTAATTGAATAACTTATGATTTTGTTACACTTAACGTGTGAGGAATATGGAAATTCCGTCTGGCTCATGTACCACCGTTCACAGATGAAAATGCCGTAAAATGTTATCGCATTTCGGCGTCTGTGGATTCCGAACATTGAAAGCCAAAAAGTTAGACAGCGATGTTATTTGTTGGAAGTGTCATAAAAAAACCCAAAAGTACAGGAATTTAAACCTAACCATATCAATATATATAACAGATGCTTCAAAAATTAAAAACTAACGTTTTTAAATTTGTATGACTGTTTCCAGTTTTACTTTGAGATAATATTTTTTATTGTGTGTTTACTTTACATTTTTTTCTACAGAATTCTGAAGCCCAAGACACAGAAACTACACCAGCTCAAGAGGAACCCAAAGAAAATTGAGTTCTGTTATGTATATTTTAGTATGTAAGCACTTTAAATTAAAATATTAATAGCTACTTATCTTTTTTACTAAGTTCTACTACAAGCATTTATCTGAAATGAATATAATGGCTGGACCAATTTTGATAAGGAAGTTTAAATTACAATAATATCCATCTATAATCTGTATAAATTGGAATAGAAAAAGAAAATTACAATATAAAGCTTTATTGTATAAAAAAATCACATAAGCAATACTTAAAACTGTGATATGAACTTAAGGTTAAATAAAATTAAGGCGGCATGGCAGACACTATACAGGTTAAAAATATATTTCATTCATTTGATATTAAAACTTGACAAAAAAGTTTATATATACTGAAATACACCTCTTCATATAATTAAAAGATATTTTCCTAAAAATGATTCTAAATAATTCCCCAATATTAAGAATAATTATTTTGTTGCAAAGTTGTGATGTTTTACATAAATTACATTTCACCATGCCTATCATTAATAGTATCACTGTCATAGCAAAGAGGTTCAGGTTTGATTCCCCAACATGCCGTTTCCACAAGCTTCCTTACGAGGCAATTATGCCTTCGTAATTCCCCTTTGTTAGATTTTTTCGCCTAAGGCCGTGATGGGATAAATATCCTAAACTATGAATTATCTGTCATGACATCATCCTCTTCATCCTCAGGGTCGGCCAAGTCTGGATGACACACGCGAATGTGAAGATTCAAGTTGATTTTAACAATAAAACTTTTCCCACATGTTGTACATTTGTGTGGACGCTTCACATCATCGTCGATTGTCGAAGGATGGGCTCGGGCAATATGAGTTCTAAGTAATGTCGAGTGCATTGTCCTATCACACTGATTGCATTTGACGAGACAGTCCATCGGTTGACCTTCATGGTTCTGTCTATGCTTCTCCATAGTAATCTTGGATACAAAGAGCTTCTGACAACAATCACATTTGAAATTCTTAACTTTTGAATGCTTTTTCATGTGAATCTTCAAACAGTTCTTAGTCGGAAACATTTCATCGCATTTGGAACATTTGAACTTTTTTATATCATTGTGTAGTTGCATGTGAAGTTTGAGATAGGCTTGTCCAGTAAAACTTTTGTTGCAAATTTCACAGTTGATTGTACTCGTTGCTGAATGAGATTGCATATGGCTTTTAAGGAATTGTGCTGCTACAAAACTCCGGTCACACAACTGGCATAGATACTTCTTGGCTGCATTACCTTCGTGCTTACTACGGTGGATGTCCAAATGGTACTGAGAGTTCACCTTCACATCACACTGATCGCATTTGAATTTTCTCCGTTTCTTCGGTCCATCCCTAACAACTGCCATCTGAGGTTCTGGCTCCATCTGCGGCGTATCTTTATCATTCCCATGGAACTTTTTATGTAAGATTAAGAACTCTAAGCCGTCAAACGTTAGATCACAGTCATCACAACAATATCGAACGTTGCCTTGTTTTTGTTGCATTTCGTATGTAACATTTTCCTGACCATTGTACGACTCTGCCATTTTTTCACGTTTCACAGCTGATCTATCGTTTTTATCGCTGCCGGCCGGCTCCATAATACTCTTCATCCAATGATCAGTAATTGCCGTACCAGGCTTTGTGTCCATTGACGCGACGCTTAAGCCATTGTGCTATTGATCGGTAATTAGCGATTTGTGTACGAAATAAGTTTATTAAACAATTAAATCACTTAAAAATAACAATTAAGGTATTGTTGACATGATTGGGTTGAAGATTTTAAAACATTTTCAAGTGTAACACAAAAGGAAGCCTTGTTACGATACGATAAATTCCAAAAGAGAAGCGGAGCGCGTTGGTTTTTTTTTCAACACCAAATGACAGCATAATCTTTTTGGTTTGACAATTTATTATTGCCAACTTAAAAAATTTATTAAAGAAAATTCTTATTTTTTGTGTTATTACCAAATAAATACGTATTGTACTAGTAAGCTATAAAAGTGATTTTATTTAACATATTTTATGATATTACAAATTCAAGAATTTTCTGGCCACAGCTTATGTCAATTGAAACTAATCTGTAATTACACATATTATATCAACTAAGAAAAGGATTTTTAGCTATATATAATAAAATTGAAAATAATATTGATATATTTTTGGAATTTTATTAATATTTTTTTCGCGTTTGGCCAAAACTAATTGGTTTACAAGTAATATGATTTTCTCAGACTAATAAACATAGAGTTACCATCAATTAATTCATTTTGGTATTAATTTCAATGTTTAGAGTAATTCCAAATCTGTCAATTAACAAGTACCTATATAAGCATTAAAATTACTATTAAACACAATCTTAATTCATAAACAACTTTATTATTTTATGTAACAATTATACAATGACTAGCTAATTATTTTGAAGTGAAGGAGAAACATTCTTCCCCAAAACATTTTCCTTGTATTTTAATTTTTGTACATTTGTAGGGTCTTTTAATAATTCTTCTTCTAACCTTTCTAATCTTTGATCCTGAACTGGTTCTGAAAAGGAGATATTAGCTTAGAGTTTCAATTAGATATCAACTTTCTGACTAAATAAATTAAATAAATAAAAGTGACACAATTGTGGTTGAAAAAATATGTTTAATAGTTTCCTGATAAGATTACATTTTTATGACATTATATAACCACTTTTAATGTTGACAATATAAAAATACAATTTGGTATTTCAGTACATCAACAAAAGCAGTGTATTTAAAAATTCAAGTCTATGTAAAACTTTATGGATTGATGATGATAAAACTAAGGTGGATGATATAACAAAATGGTGTACTTACAGAAGGAAATATTTACAAAGTGCTCCCATTCAATATTATAAAACACACTACGAGAAATGGAACTCTTAATTATTGTACTTACTTGAATAAGGTGTGTATCTATCTGACAAAAAACCTTCTAAATTATAACCTATTACGCCAACAACCGCAGCTATGGGTAATGTAATGTACGGTGCATTCGTCCGTAAGAACTGTAATAGTATAGGCCACATCTAAAATAAAATATTATTTTAAAATCAAATAACATGTAAAACAATAACTTTAACATTTACAAAACAACTTACTGTTAAGGAGAGATATTATTTGGATAACAAATGCTTAGTGTCCATGGATACAATTATAATATGTATTACTTTAATCGCTAGAAGCCAAATTGCTATTAAATTATTTTACTTACTTAAATATGTTCTTCTAAATTCACAAATAACACTCGAAAAATTATCTTATTATTTTTAAATCAATATTGTGAATGTTGGACTCAGTTGACATTTGATGTTTTCTCTAATCTGTAACATTGTATATTATGAGCAAAGAATAGACTACAGATAACATGTTTAATTGATTTAATTTGAATAAAACTCTTTAACGGTTAAAATTGCGATATATACCAGTTACAGTTATTTGAAAATTATTTTATTTAATATATTTCGCGATTTAAACCGTTAAGGTGTTTTTTTTTTATGTGTATTAACTAATCGCATATACTACAGACAGTATTTGAGTTCAAATTCATATTTCATAATATGTCATTTTATCATCTGTCAAATTGTCAATTCGAAAATAAACACGCAAATAAAATTTTGAAAAATAAATAATAATAATAATCCGACATATCGTTACAATAACTTTAATTAATCTCGCTTACAAGAGTGTTATTATATGATATATATTTTTCTGTTACTACTCTAATAATGACTCAGGCGGTGTTAAATACCGCGCGTATTTTTACATTTAAATATAGTGTTTATTTACGTAATATTAGAAGGCAGAGTACAAATGCTCCTAAAGAGAAAACAGCGAGTTCCGTATATAGGACTATGAATATATTTGACAGAAAAGCAAAGATATTGCAAAAGGAAAGATCTGCCCTGCGAGAGGACTATCATTTGTACGAATATGTGAGAGAAGAAATTGGTTGGAGAACTGCAGACCGCATATTTGATATAAAAAGGACGTTTTCAAATGCTGTAGAGCTGGGTATGTATACTTTAATTAGTACACCTTCAATAGTTATAGTAACTATGAATATCAGAAACTAAGACAAGCCCCTTTTATTGATCAATGATATAGGCATTAAAAATGGGCAAAGCATTCATATGACGAAACCGTGTTGGTGTAATGAAAGCAGTGTACGGCCAGTTATCAACGGGTCCTAGGTTTGATCCCAACCGGGTCCAACATTTTTCTAATCAATTTTTAATTTTGTGAAAGATGTGGGAAATCAGAATATTAAAAAGACGACAGTCCATCTGGCCAGGTCATGAATCCACTATCTACTAAGCTAAACTATGAAGGGTAAATTTGGTGGATTTCCGAATGTCCAAAGCCAAATAGGTCAATAGCACATCTTGTTTAGATGCTGGGGTATTTTACCTACCATCAAGTGTACCCCATGCATGTCTTCTATCTTTAAAAAAAAATTGTAAAGTGTAGTACTCTGATATATAGCTTAGTAGATTAGTATAGCTGACTGTCCATAGTCCTGTTTATACGATTTTTTAAGGTTTCCTATTTGCAAAATTAATGGTTCTTGTTTATTTTTCAAGGTGCTGGCAGAGGGTATGTGTCACGCCACTTCTTGCCAGATAGTGTTGAAAAGGTGACTCTCTGTGATACATCTCAAACACATTTAGATAAAGCAATTGTTGGTGAAGGTGTGGCCGTTGAGAAACTCATTATGGATGAAGAGAAAATTGAAGTAAGTAAGTACACCAGTTTTATATACAACAACATCTTACCTGGAGCTAATAATAATCAAATGTTGTACATGCTTATGTACAATATTAGCTCCATTATTTTTAATGTAACAGTTCTAAAACAATGAAATCTGAAGGCTAACCTATGACAATTTTTCATTTATTTCTTGTTGATTAAAGAGATTTTATATTAAAAATAAATATCAGCTTTTTTATGCTACAGGAATTAAGAAGAATATGCTTGGATATGTATTCAATCTATCTTAATTGTATATAAACTTGTTCTATGTTTCAGTTTCCAGAAAACAGTGTGGATCTGTTGGTATCCAGTTTGGCTTTACATTGGGTTAATGATTTGCCAGGATGTTTTGATAAGATCATGAACTGTTTGAAACCAGACGGGGTGAGTATTTATTTAATTATTCTGGAAATTTGGTAATTGGCCCAGCTCAAGGGAATCTTAGTTTTTTTAATTTTGTTTTAGAATTTTTATAAGATATATTTGCAATATGTCTATATCAAATGTATTGTTTTTCAATGCTTAGTTAAAAAAAAATACTAATATATAAAGCTGAAGAGTTTGTTTGTTTGTTTGAACACGCTAATGTCAGGAACTACAGGTATGAATTGAAAAATTATTTTTGTGTTAGATAGAGCATTTATCGACCTGTGACTAATGGGAGAAAAGATACAGCTAGAAATGTGAAAAAAATTAAGGAAAATTATTTATTATTTGAGTTTCCGACACGTATGTTGCAAAAACGGTTTAAGATACCCAAAAAAATATGTCATATAAGGCAATGATTCCCCTTTAAATGATTTGCAAAGTAAAAAGATCACAAAAACCCTACTAATTTTCTATATACTAGTTTAACTTGAAAGAACTTTTTAGACAGAAAGGTATTCAGCGACTTCGACCGCTAAGGATATACAACTTAATTTTGGGCATCTAAATTCGTTTTTGGAAGAACGAATTCATCGATCCGAACTTAACTATTGTCCGCGTAGGAAGTCAATTATTTTCCCATGATAAACATAAGTTAATCACTTGATATTACACATGATAGCGTAGCCTACAAATTAAAAATCTATACGAATCATTCTTTAATAGAAATCGAAGGGTTAACTTGTCCAGTTTTTGCACAAATACCTCGGATTCCATGATGTAGCTTATAGCCTTAACAATAAAGCTTAACCAAGACAAAAATGATTTTTATTGGCCGGAATTGTATGACATTAGCCGTCACAAAAACCCGTTATTATAAGATAGGTAATATATTAAAAGATATGATATATGGTTAAAATATTAATTTCTAGGTGTTCATAGCCTGTGTGTTCGGCGGTGAAACATTAATGGAATTAAGGCAATCAATCCAATTAGCAGAGACGGAGCGTCTAGGCGGTGTCTACCCTCACATCTCTCCATTCACTAGGATTAGAGATATTGGCGGTTTGTTGAATGCGTGAGTACACTTACTTTCTTGCGCGTTAGTGCGTAAAAGCCGATTAGTTTAATTGGTTAAAAGTTTTAAAATTATTCAATGAGGGTAGATGTAAATTATGTAAGGCTTTCGTAGGCATTTTGCAAAGCTACTTGGTTTTCCATGCTTTAATCAGTCTGAGGTCTGTATATTCGAAGATATCCGGTGAAGAAATCGAGGTTAAGCATTTTCGCTTCTCCCAGGAACGGGCATCATCTCTTGATGGTATCATCCGGCCGAACACTAAACCGAAGAACTTTCTAAAATATAAATTTTTATTAGTTACATTATTAGCTCTTCCAACATTTCGATAAGGTGCAGAATAAATTATCCATCCTCTCTATGGAGACAGGAATTCTATCCGTTAGTAGGTTATTGATATGAGATTTGCTTATCCTTAGTACTAGACTAGGACTAGGGACCTATCTATATACCTTATTGAAAACGACGGTAACTAAACTTAACTAGGATCGGGTAACGAGTATAGAATTGTCTGACACTTTACGTTGAATGGCGATATGTAGCTTTTTTTACTACCTTTGATTAATATAAATATTTGTTTGAAAACTTCAGTATTTTTCACATTGTTTTGCACATTATGGCACTATATAAATTTAAAAATCCATGTATAATAGTTTAAAAAAATCTTGCACGAGAGCTGTCACAAGACTGGTAGGCTCATTAGTTACTCAACAGCATCGACTGCTGAGGATGTGGGTCCATGTCCTGGCCGAGTTGTAATTTTTTTTTAAATTATAATCGATTTTAATTGAATATAAGTCGTAAGTTTTTCGTGCTACCCCACAATGTTTATTCCAGGGCCGGTTTTACTCTGCAGACGGTCGATGTAGACTCTATAACGGTCTGTTATCCATCTGCTTGGCACGTGATGCAGGATTTAAGAGGAGCGGGCGAGAGCAACTCTGCTTTCAACAGGCCACTAAGGCTAAGCAAGGACACGCAGTTCGCTGCCGCTGCTATATATGATGAGATGTATGGAAAGGTATGTTAAAGAAATTAATTACACAGGCAGGACATCGAACTCGTGACCAACAGCGTACTGCGTTGTTACTCTATCAATGACAATGTGTTTTAAAGCTGATTAGTTGCTATTTATACCTTATTTATATGCAAGTTACAAGTTTGGATTAGTAATTATTTATGATAAGAAATTTTAAATAAAAATTTTAAATAAACAAATTTTTGGCTGTGCCCGCGTATCGTGTGGAAGACATGGGTAGAATTTTTAATTATTTCGTTTAATTTATTTATTTATACTACGTTGTAAAGGATGCTTGCACCTCTCACCTCACATCTCCTTTCTAACTCCCCCCCCCCCCCCCCCTTCTAAACTGGCACGGTGGAAAGTTTCATTGTTCTAGTTCAAAAACCCCCCGAATTTCGATACAAACTTTTACCCACTCTTTTAACCCTTCACAACCTCATTTTCGCAAAAAAAAGCCTCCGTTCTTTCTCCAGGGGTCTAGACCATCCGTTCGCAACAAAACCCCCCCCCCCCCCCCCCCCCCCCCCCCCCCCCGTACCAAATTTCATTCAAATCCGCCTTCAGTAGTTTTGGCGAGAACGAGTAACGGACGGAGTTACTTTCGCATTTATAATTAGTAAGGATTTTAACACGCTTTGGGTTGGCGGGTCATGGTCACGATGGGAAATATTTCGTGTTTTAAACCGTTTGAGTCTTTTATTTAAATAATATCAATTGCTTCAAAAGGAAGAATCGTAATTATCTATTCCTCATAGTATAGCATTAATTTGACACTTCTTACAGGAGTTTCCAGAACAGAATTCCCGTGGCGTCCCAGCGACCTATCAGATAATCAATTTCGTTGGTTGGAAACCAGACCCAACCCAACCGCAGCCAAGGGAACGAGGAACTGGGGAGGTGTCCCTAAAAGATCTTCACAAAATTGACGAGATTATCAAACACAGCGATACCATAGTATTGAGGGATGAGGATATGAAATAAAATGTTACGATATTAAAAGTCTATAAAGTCTATAAATAGTTATTGTCATTTTTCTGTTCCACCATACCAGTATTGTAACATTTGAGAGATCTGTATTGAAAATCAAAATACACACCAATCGAAGGGCATAGAATACAATCTAATTGCTTTTAAAACCTGTAATGCGACGCAAATATATGGCAGTTCCGTGCAATAATAAGGAGTTATATATCCTTGTTTATGGGCTCCATACAAGAGTAGACGCTACAACGGATTTCGTTTCGCTTATAAAGAAATGAATAACTAAAAAAATAACTTATTTGAAAACAATTGGTGAAATAAAGGTGACTCGGGCACCTCTAGCGGGAAATTTAGCTGCCTGTCTAAAAACGACCCTCCTTTAAATTTATTTGGTCATTAATTATATTATCCAATATAATCCAATGGAACATCCTTACTTAAAAAACTTACTAAATAAAAAAGGCAGAAACACAAAATTTTTGACTTAGGGAGGTTTCCAAAAAAAAGGGGGATACGTCAGATAAAGAGGTCATGTTTATTGTTTCCTAATATTATACCGTCTGAAATTATTCCTAAAAGTATTTTTATTAGACCACGTTTAACTCCTAAACTTAAATCAATCGCTTGAGAAAACATCGACGACATGCCAGCAAATAACTTTACATTATATATATATATATATATATTATATATATATATATATATATATAACATTTCAAAGATAAAAAACAGTTCTAAAGAGTTTTTCCACGCTACAAAATGTCGAAGTGTCGTTCATAGACAGCTTAACAAATTTTGACACTTGGGACCCTACTTAAAAACTTTGCCTCGCCACAACGTGGTACTAATATAAATTATATTAGCTCTTACAACAGTAAAATTAAAAATACGACCCCAATATTAAGTTAAGTGTTAAAATAATCGTCTTTTTTATCACACCACCCTAATATAAACGGAGCGATACATCATGTTGTAATACATACTTTGATACATAATATTAACCTTAAAGATAATTAATTATCTGTACTATACGCAGAAAATGTATGTTTGAACATTAAATTCAAATTGAAAGCTGAATGTTGGCTATGTTAATAGTGACAGGCTGTGTTTGTTAAAATCGGTTTATAGTGGGAATAAATAGCCATTAAAACGTCCACATAGTGAAGAAAAAAAATATAAATATAGGTAAAATAGAATTACAAACTACGATCTGATAGATTTATATAAAACACTTTGACGGTTTAAAACGCGAGGTTATATTTTAGTTAATCTTGTTTGAGGATTATTTTTAACTACGGCCCGACGTTGCGGATGCTTTGCAGCGGAGCTCGGGGAGTCCCGGGGACCACGGCTTCCCATTAAAATAAATTAAATAGATCGCGTTTTAAACCGTTGAAGTGTTTTATTTAAATGTGTACTGCTTGCGTAAACTACAGACAGTACGATCTGTAGTATAACAACGAATATTTTGCGAATCACAATTTTGTTTAACTTAACAATACTCCACAAGAACTACGTAATATTTATTTATTTATTATTATTTACCTATTAATATAATAATAATAGTCTGCAGTTAACGCGAGCTGTATCTACACATTTAAATAAAACACTTTTACCGGTTTGAAACGTGTAAAGTTACTTATTTATGTTTCGTTTTAAAACGTCGGGCCGCACCTAAAATATATTGTAAATAGGTTAACTAATGTATTTTGCGTTTTAAACCGTTAATTTTTTTATTTGAATACGATACAATCATTTGTGTTATTAATATAAGGAAGCACTCGGTTTCCTCTACACCACTAAGATGGGTCAATGACGTGCAGGTTTTCAATGTATCCCGAGGAGAAGTAATAAAACTATAAACTACATATTCTAACAAATACCTAAATCGAAAAACATAGTATTATATGGGCTATAGGGCAGACATTTGTATTTGTCTTAGATAAGAGTTTGTTAACTGTTATATACTCCTAGACTTCTATGCTCTATACTGTAACTATTCAATATTCATTATATTTTGCTTAGATTCGAATCTAGGAACTGTAGGTTAATTTCTTAATGCGCCTTCGTGCGGTTACGAAGGTAGTTAGGCGGTTTAAACGTCTTCGTTCCTTATTAATTGGAAGTTATATTTGATACATAGTTACACCTTATCTATATCAGAGTTACCAGGTACAATACAGATATCTATATTATTGTTATAAGAATTAGTTAGTCATAGAAGGCAAAACTGCTTATTTTGCGATATCAATTATCATCTATGTTAGGTATGTTCTTTTGACCGTTATTTTTTTTTATTTGACTGTTTGTAACTGTATTTATGTCTTAATGCCTTTTCATTAAATGATGTATTATCTGACTTTGAAGCCAGCGACAGAATAGCTTTTAGTCTATATTTGTGCTAACTAGGACGCATGCGTGAATTCAGCCAGCTAGCTAGATTCAAGATGGCCACCGCGTAACGCCGTCTCCCGATTGATTTTTTTATTCCATACATTCTCACACCGGCCACGACAAAAACACATCTGAACCACCCGTGATTTTTATAAATAAAACCTCCTTTCAACGCGCGTTTAAAAATAATCCGTCAAATAACCTATTTATTATGTGCCAGTGAAGTTTTAAGTGTTCTACGGTGAAAATAGGTGAGTAGGTATCGTATTAGGTGTTAAATAATGCAGTTTTTGTTAGAAAAAAATATGTTCTTAATACATAATGACCTACAAACAGTGACCTAAAAACTAGACATAATGCGGTTAGTGTCTATAAGTAATCGTTGTAATGTTAAATTTTTTAGTGACACTTGATTTCTTCATGCCCCGCTGATGGGTGACATAATAATTTCGGGGGCTCTTCCCCAATTCTGTGGGGCTTTTGGGTTTGATATATTCGTCCTTGTCTGCTCTCTTGAATGAGGCGATAAGCATGCGCACTGTGTCAGGCGATGAGATAATTTTTAATGGATCTAGGCGTGCCTTAATTAATTCTTAAACGCCGTGTAACCGCTATCTTATAATTCGTATTTCGAACATCGTTCACATCGAGGCAGTTTTGTCGAAATTTTATTGCACTATATGTGATTAAAACCTTAAGAGCCCTTATTATTTACTAGCTGTGGCCGCGACTTCATCTCCGTAGAATAGTGATTTCGGGTATCAAAATTTGTTTTTGCAAACCTCCTCATCTGATATAGGTATTTTAGCTATAACCCACGACGTTGTTCGCGTCCCATCGTTCTTGCAAGTTTATCTTAGAAGATAGGATATACTGTCGCGGACATTTTTTTATCCCTTGAACCGTTTCCCAGCACACGCAACGGAAGCCCACAAAGATGAATATTTTTTTCCGTTTTTCCCCATTTCCCACTGTTTCTTCGCTCCTATTAGCAGCATGATGTTTTACAGCTTAAAGCTTCCTTCGATAAGTGCTCTAACCAGCACAAAAGGAATTCAATTCGATCCAGTAATTCCTGACACAAGCGCGTTCAAAGAAACAAATAAACTTAATAAACTTCAGCGTTGCTAATATCTAGTATAGCTTACAGAGCTGTAAGGAAGGCAACACGTATGTCACCATTACATAGTTCAATTTATTTATCCTCTTTACTTGAACGACTGGACTGATACGCAGACAGTTTAGATAGGCCGGTGATGAGGGGGATTTTAAAGAGCTGTTACAACGTACTACATCAAAGAAGAAAAGCCTTTTACCATAAACCGTAAGACGGTTTCTTGTACAGGTTTAATTATTGTTAACCAGAAATTTAATGAAGAGTTCGAAATAAAGTAAATAAAACTAACTCGTCAGCGTTGTAATGACGAGGAAGCTTGACAAGAGCGATAAGTGAAGGCAACATGTCGTTAAGAATTAGAGCGGTAGTCAATACCATTAATCCGTTTAGGATGTAGCAGCATCAACACAAGTCGAATAATGGCGTTACAATCTGCTCAAAGAAGACAAGTTATACCATCGTAGTACTTGTAGAAGGGTATTAAGCCAGAAAGTTCCTGTGTTCGAAAACTGAAGTCTACTCTGTTAGGAAAGGCGAGGAACGTGATCGAAATCGATAAGTGAAGTTGAATCTCGTTAAGAATGGTGATGCGTGTCGTCATACGGTACATCTTGCTGTACGACAAAATGTTAAGTCGACTAGCTGGCACATCTGGAAGTATAACATAAGTATAATTGATTTGTACATGGCTTTTAAAATAAAGGAGGATAGATAAGCCTGAGGTTCACTTGATGTTAGGAACGTGATATAACGCAGCCTATAGCATCTAAACGAGATGCGGCTGTCGACCTATTTTGGCCTTGGATATTTGGAAAACCACAGACTAAAACCGAAACGCAATCAAGGTTCACGGCTTTTTCATCTGTAGACAGTGGTTCGTGACCCGGACGGAATTTCTATATTCCTACCAACCAAATTTAATATCTAGATTTCCAACGTCCAACTTGTTTCAGAAAAATTATAAACATGTTGGAACCGGTGGGGATCGAAACCAACACGTTGATTATTAGCCATACATAGCTACCATAAGACCTAAGAGGCCGAAGCCCTGAAGAAGCCTTGTATCTTCTTTTTTCTTGAAGAAGTGTATTCATCAAATAACCTACCGCAATCAGCGTTTCAGAGACTTTCCAAATTTGTCTACATAAGGCCAGTATTAATCTGTTTCCAGGCAAGCTTGGAGCAACCTTACACCGCTTCCAATCTGGTGGGTTTGTGGTCAAATGCTGACATAAAAAAGAACTAGAGTTTAGCATGTAGTGTTTCGATGTTTCATTGTTAGGCGTATCATAAAATATTTTTTCTTGTTGGTAATATAAAAAAAAAATTTAGAAGAAATTTCTTCGTAATTATTGAAATAAGACTTATCTGATTGTGTTTAGTTGAGTTAATTTTCGACACAAAAAAAACAATGGAATAATAAAAGGCTGCAAAAACTGTCTGGACGTTGAACACGTTTTCGTACGTTACGGAACGTTGCAAGAATGTCCACTCTATGCAGTTCCCAGGCTAAAAATGGACTACATTACATTTAAGGGAGCGAGAAGAAAAATATTTCATTAATGTATATATATGTATGACTACACATAAAGTCTTTTCGCTAAAAGTGTACTACTCACGTAAACTATAGACTTACAATGTATATTCCAATTTACAACGATATTTAAGTTTTCGTTACTACCGGCGCTTCCAGAGAGTCGTAATTTTTTTTATCTAAATTTGATCTAACCCTTGAATCCGAACTAAGATGCCACCTCTTAGATAAGCCATATGAAACAATAAACGAATATAACCGAGTAGTTATTTCTGCTGTATAACTAATGACGAACACAATTGAAAATGACTCTCATTGTTATTTTTAATTGCTGTTTGTCGGTGTCAATGGTTGAAGTTTACAAATAACTATTATAATATAAACATGACTAGCTCTGCTCTCGACATTCACAAGTAGAGAAATTTCAAATCAAACACTTCTAACGGTTTAAAACGCTAAATGTATTAGTTGTAATACCCCAGTTACATAACTGCTAAACAAGATATGCTATCGATCTATTTGATTTTGGACTTTTTACTGTCTGTAGTTGAAACCGGTAATACATAATTAAATAAATACTTTTAACGGTTTAAAACGCGAAATGTATTAGTAAATCTTATTTACAAATTATTTTATCGGCACCACTTTTCGGATGCTTTGCAACAGCCGTGGTCACAACAGATCATAAAACAACGTGGCGTAGTTAAAATAATTTGTAGATACTTAATTAAACTTTTAAATAATACCTTTCCTATTTTAAACCAATAGTAATACCCATATAAATAAAATTGATTTATATGTGTATTACTCACGTTAACTACAGCAGATCAAAGTACATCTTGTTTAGAAGTTATGTAGAAAGGGATATTACACCTTCCTCTTCCCTGCGCTTATCTATCCGCCTCTATTATGAAAAAAAAAACAGAAGATATTGACTAGGTATATAAAAACTATAAATAAATACGAACTTAAAGAAATAATCTTATATTTTTGGTAGTAAGTAGACAAATCTTCGTTCATCGACTAAAGTCTACAAAAAAAAGGAATTCATGAGTACATATTTCCTTCTTCTTCATAAAATATTGTGTCTTATAATAGAACTCGTAATAATCTTTAACGGTTTAATAACACAATATATATATCACTTGTGACCCGACATTTCGAACGCTTTGGGGCGGATTATTTGTATGTTTTGTTGCGCGCGCGTCTTGAATAGTTAAAAGTTACCATACTTTTAACGATTCGAGACGCGCGCAGCAACTGCAAAGCATAAGCAATATATTTCGATTTTTAAATTTTTCGTCGGTTCATTTGAACGAGCACACTACTCTACGTATTGGCAATTTGTTTTGTTTTTAAATTGCTTAATCTGTGGTCTACCTACTTTTCATGACGGTATAATCCCGTAGTTACGGCCACTGGCTAGCTGTAACCAGCTGAGACAGATGAAACTATAATTTGATTAGATAATGCGTTTCTGTCGCCGCGCTGCCGCGGTATGCCACGATTTATGAAATAAGTAAATAACGCGATGAAAACTTAAAAACGAAGCGATATATGGCAGCATTTATCGAGCGGCTCAATATTTGCAATGCTAATAAAACGTTGCGGGTTCGATCACTAAGTCCATGTGTCCTGATATAAATACACTTTCATTAAACATTCGATTTCGTCTGGTAAATTTGGATAGTGGGTAGCAATATCGAAATTCCGTCCGAGTCCACCAACGTCCACAGATGAAAAAGGCGGGAAGTGTAATCGCACTTCAGTTTTAGTCTGTGGATTTCCGGATATCCAAAACCAGGTGAACCCGATGCCTGTCTGTCGATCGTAAAAAAAGTAGTAATACATAAATAAAATAAGGAAAAATAAAAAGCTATAAAATGTAATTGTAAGCTGTGAAATGTTATTGTTCGTTTCAAACTTTTTCTTTTCTTAAAAAGTATCGCATAAACGCTCCATATATCTATATTTTGCGACTTTTATCAAAATTCAATGTAGATTAGATATATGTGCATATTATATACTAGCTGTGTCAGCGACTTCGTCCGTAGATTAGTTGTTTTGGGCACCCACATTTGTTTTTGCAAACCTCTACATTTTTATAAACTTGAAGAGGGTGAAATCTGAATTACAAAATTGGACCCAAGAATAAATAATAAAACAAACGGGGTGAGCTAAATAAAACCATTTAAAATAATATTTTCAACTTGCACTAGTAGTTCCTGGGATTAGTGTGTTCAAACAAACATACTCTTCAGCTTTAATATATTAGTATAGATTTTGCAGTCACGTGTATCTATCAAATATAGGTCACTAACACTTTAAGTTCACTGTTCGGCTAATAATAGTTCCTTAGGGCTGTCACAAAAATATTATATTCTTCCAAATATACTCGTCTATATGCCACAATGGAATAAATCAATTTACAAAAAGTAAATTGATTTATTTCCATTCCTGTATATACCTGCTGAAAAAAATCCTTCCATCTTAATTGAAAAAAAAAAACAAATTCTTTCTGGAAAGATAAGATATAATATCTTATGGAAAATAATATATCATAATATTTATGTCTAGTGTAGAAAATGCATTGTGCATCTGTATATTATATTTAATGAAAAGTGGTTGCGTTTTTTTTCTTTTACTTCACGATTATTACATTTTCTATAGATAAAGTTTTTATCTTTACCTAGATTTAATGTCCCATTTTTTTATTACTAGATGTGCCCTTGACTTTGTCTGACTGGAATAGTGATTTTTGACATCATATTGTTAATTTTAGTAAACAATCTCCTCGACTTAGCCGTTACCCATGACGTCATCCGCATCCCGTAGTTCTTGCGAGATATTCCTTAAATAAAGATATATATTACACAAATGAGGACATTGTTTAACGATTTAAAGAAAAATAATTCTTTGATACATATCTTGTGGTTTCTTGAACCGTTTCGTAACGTGTTAGAATTTTTATCCCTGTTTATTTTTCACCTGATGTGTTATAGCCTAAAGTCTTCCTCGATAAATGGTCGAAACAACACAAAAAATAATTTCAATTGTAACTAGTCGTTCTTGAGATTAGCACATTCAAACAAACCAACAAATCCTTCAGCTTTATAATATTAGTGTTCTTGTTTAATATTACGTAAAGTACAAGGTTAATGTCAGATTACAGATATACAAGTGACAGCCCTAATTCGTTTCACTCGGCCATCGGTTCATAATTTGAGGATATCCTCAATTGACAAATATATTGTTTATATGACAGAAAAAATAGAACGAGTGTGGCTACTGATCCATTATACTTGCCACTTAACACATGAACTTGACAAACTTATTCTTGTAACTGAAAAGTATAAGACCTAGTAGAATTTTTACATTAATATTTGTCTTAACATTATCAGTATCGGATTCATTATTATGAGGGAATTATGTGTACATGACGTTTAACTTTGTAAACATGTGTTTCAACCAAATTAAAAAAACAAAAAAAGATCAGTTTAAAAAAGTCTAATTAAGTTTTTAATAATTGCATCTATCTTTATTGCAAAGTAATACATACTCAATTATTTTGATAGTAGCACAGACTACTTGTAATTAAAATCGAAGGTCTACCTTTAAAAAAATCTGCAAGCGCGTGAATGCTACAGAAACATCAGAAGTCCGTTTCTAAAAAAATAACTATATACTTATTATAAATTATGAATTACACTAACAAAATTAAGTTTAAAAAACCACATTTATTGTTTTATTTTTATTTACTTATTTATGGGATAAATATAAGTTTAAGTAAAAAATGTAAACGCTTTAAAATTCGATATATATTAGTTAAACTTATTTTAACTACGGCCCGACGTCTCAGATGCTTTGCAGCAGCTGTGGTCACGGGAAACTCCGTGGTCTCTTTTTAAATAAGTTTAACTAATATATATCACGTTTTAAACCGTTAAAGTGTTTTATTTATTTGTGTACTAAGTACTCGCGGAAACTACAGACAGTATTTAAAAAATAAGTTTGTTTTTTATGTCGTACTTTTAGATATGTAAAATGCAAAAAAGTCGCCAGAAAAAAACTAGCTACGTGATAATTAGGTAGACTCAGGATCTTACGTCTTAATTATTTATTATTAACGTCATTTGGAAACAAACCCTCGGTCTTTAATGTTCCTGACTTAATGCCCCATGTCCCCTAGTTGGGGTAGAAGGCGACCACAGAGTCTCGCTAATGTGACCTATCTAGGGCATTTAATTTCTCACCACGATAAACCTATCTTTTACTATTGAGCGTCACCAGACCTCGTCTCCTTTTCCCTTGTGGCGACCTATCGCCGTTATGGTTAGTTGCTCCAGGGTAAGGCTTTGGCCAATTCAATTCTAATTACAATGCGCAGTTTGGTCGTGCAGAGGTGTTTCTGGTATTTCCAGCAGTTGTTCGTTTGGTGATGATGATGGTTGAGGCCAAAATACTCCAATGATATTCAGTAGTCTTCCGTTGGTAAAGATCTTTCGGGTTGTTGGATAAAAATATTGATGTTGAATAAGAAGTTCGAAGCCGCGGGTGCAGTTAAGCAACGTCTGATACTCCTCAGGTCTTTAATTAATAGAAATTAAAATAGAGTTTCTTTAAAAATGACGCATCACCCGTATATAACACGTGTTGTGCGCGGTAAAGTTTGCAATGGCCTTAAGTCTATTGTGATATTATAACAAACGGTGTCTCGAATCTCGATTGCTCAGTCACTTACCGTTTACCATCGGAGAAAGTAGCGTTTGTGTCGCTGTCTGTTTTACTCACGTGCTTAACATAATTTTGGTGAGTCCTTTTATTGACCTGAGCTAAACAATTGGTTTCAATTTTAATGTTGGCGATTCTGTGTAATTTGATAATCATTTAAAAGGCGGGAAAACATTAAAATATAAATCGTAAGTAAATCTATTTCATGTTATTTATTTTATACATGAATGCTTTAAAAGACTTGTTACCATTAAGGTAATAAGTCTTTTAAAGCTATCTTGAATAAAAAAGAAATAATTTTTTTAGCGGGAACAAGTTGGAGGGATTCCATTTCTAATTTCCCGCCATAAGTAAACATAACCTCAAAGCTAAAAAAAATATTTCAGATTTTTTTAAATTATCAAGTTAGAGAGATTATATTTTCTGTTCTATTCAAAATCTTGAAATATAAAAAAAACACACTTTTTGCAATTGTCACGTATTATTAATTTTAAAGAAGTAGTTTGAATATAGTAAATGCCGTGTGATATATAAATAAAAATATTTAACTGGCTAGTTAATAATATCAAGTGTTAAGTAATAAATATTTGTCTTATATAGGTAGTAGATTAATTTTAGAAAGTTTCAAGACCAACAAATGCAAAGAATAAATAGATTTCATAAAAATATTAAAAACAACATGGGGATATGACATCCACACCTGACCTGAAGGAAATAGTTCTAAAGTTCTGTCTATGGTTTACGCGAATAAACAAGACGCCTGTGAAAAACCAATTTTAACGGTTTAAAAGGCGAAAGCCGTGACCAAACGAAAAGCATCTGGAATGCCGGGTCGTAGTTAAACAGAATTTTACTAATATATTTTTTGTTTAACACCATTGAAAGAGCTTTATTTAAATGTTTACGACTTACGTATACTACAAACACTTTTAACTGATTTAAACGCGAATTGTGGTTTATTCTTAATTGAGAAACGAGATTTATTCCACACGTGGCCAAGAACAGCGATATCGCGTTTTAAACAACATGCACCTTTAATTACATAATGTTTGTAGAAATCTAATCTTAGGTAACTTTTTTAAGGTGTTTTGACAGCTGCAAAACTCACTTATCATGTGTGATGTGTGACATTGGTAAAGCGGAACACGTTATCGATACGAGTAATAGATTTAGAATTTCATTTAGGAACGTCGTTTTGTAAATATCTGTATTCAGAAACCATTTTTTAAGACCTTTTAAGGTCTTAAATGCTTCCATTCGGATCATAGATTTAATTCCTAATAGGTTCTTTCATTTGGACATTTAATGCGTTGTAAAAACATCGTAATAGAAGAGACGTGTAATAAGCCCAAATAGGTCGATAACGCATCTTAATAAGATATTCTTTTTTAATAAAACATTAAATAGTAATAAAACGACACCGTCGTCTCCCCGTGACCACGGCTGCTGCCAAAGCATCCGAAACGTCGGGGAAGTAAAAATATTTTCAAATAAGTTTAACTAATATATCGCGTTTTAAACCGTTAAAGTGTTTTATTTAAATGTTTTATTTAAATAAAACGACAGTTCATTTTGACCGTAAACACACGACTAATTTATTAGCATAGAGACAGAGTACATTAAAAGGGTTGCCAGATGGCATTAGTTGGTTTGTTTTTATGTCAACGGCTATACATTTTTAACTACATAAAATAAACCAATAACGTTACTTAAACAATTCTTCATTATATATATTTAACAGTTTAAATTACTAACGCTTACACATTTCCATACCTGCCATACATTTATAATGTTTCATAGGGCTAAGTGCTTTAGTTAGAACATCTGCTGGCATAGCACTTGTTGGCAAATATTTTAAATCTATAATTTTATCATTTACTACATCTTTGACAGAATGATATCTAATATCAATGTGTTTACTTTTTCTATGACACACAGGATTTGCCACCAACTTCTGTGCACTTTGACTATCATTATACAGTTTTACAGGATATAAATTACCAGTTAACTCACACAACAACATTCTTAAATATATAGCCTCCTTACTGGCTTCTGCAATGGCCATATATTCGGCTTCCATAGTTGATAATGCTACTGTTCTCGCGTGTGTTTAAAAGGCAAAATGTCACGGCCAGAGATTACAGAAGGATCTATCATCAAGTGTATTTTTAACCGATTTGTATAAGACTAAACACTTTTACCTATTTTCAAACTAAATTCAATGATTTGATAGATTATGTATATTGCTTAAATAACAATTAACGTCACAACAATACCTAACAGGAAAAATATATTTAAATAAAACACTTTAACGGTTTAAAACGCGATATATTAGTTAAACTTTTTTTTTAATTTTTAACTTCGGCCCGACGTTTCGGATGCTTTGCAGGGCTGTGAAAACTGCTGTAAAGCATCCGAAACGTTGGGCCTAAAAATCATTTTCAATAAGTTTAACTAATATATCGCGTTTTAAACTGTTAAAGTGTTTTATTTAAAAGGATAATTACATACGTTTATACATTTGATTGTAGTGAATAACACACACAAATATAATGGATATAGAATATCACAGGACTGCTGTATGGTTGGTATCACTTTATGAGTTTCTCTCCTGCGCTTTGCTCCTACTTTCTTACCAAGGCCAGCCACGCCTGGTGGGTAAAAACAATATGGTATCACGTTTTTAAAACTTGTATAATGTTAGATCTAGATACGTAGAACTTACTGGCTACTACATATTTTTAACTGTAAGTCATATACAGACAGTTCTATTATTACTTTCTTATTTTATTTTATGTTCAATCTAATACTACTACTACTACTACTAGCTGACCTAGCAAAATATGTTTTTTCGCCATATGATATACTAGCTGTGCCCGCGACTTCGTCCGCGTGGAATAGTGACTTTGGGTAGAATTATTAATTATTTATGCGGCGTCCCACTCTCACCTCACGTTACTTCTACTCTAACTCACAATCCCATTCCCATTCCCAAAAAGCCAGAGAAGAAAAGTTCTAGCTTCAAAAATCACGAATTTCCATACAAACTTTCATCCCCCTTTTCAACCCTTAACATCCCTTTTTTGACATTAAAAAGTAGCCAATGTCCTTTCTCAGGCTGTAAAATATCTGTGTACCAAATTTTAGTTAAAATCGGTTCAGTAGTATTAGCGCTAAAGCCGGACAGACAGACATACAGACTGAGTTACTTTCGCATATATAATATAAGTATAGATTTCGATCAAATTTAATACCATTAAAATGTTTAATAGTTTAACACTCAATAATCTTAAAATATAAACTACGATTATACTGAAATACTGTCCCTTTTTTAGATTATTATATTGTATGGGAAAGTTAGGCCGCTATTGCAGTTTACGCAACGGAAGCTCTCAAAGATGAATAATTTCCCCAGGTTTTCCCCATTTGCCGCTCTTCTTCACTCCTATTGGTTGCACTCTGATGTTTTAAATCTTTCCTCGATAAATGGTATAATTAACACAAAACTAAATTTTGAATTGGACCAATAGTTTTTGAGATTACCGCTTCCAAAGAAGCAATCTCTTCAGCGTTAGATTCAGGTTATTGAGGCCAAAAACGATGATAGTTAATGCTCCAACATTTTACTCTGTAGGAAATGGAGGAGAAAAACATTGTTAATTATGAACTATTGTTTTTCTTTTCACGCAAACATAAGATCATTGATCTTATATCAATAAATAAAAAATAATAATTAAAAAATAAATATAAAGCAGCAATAAAAGAGTCATTAAATGGAGTTTTTCTAACGTGTAAATAATTTATTACCTCATAAAATAACACAATGATTTCTCTGACATCTACAATTGTCGTCATACCTGTCGTAGAATTGAAATCATAGTAATTATTGATAAATTAAATACTTTGGCACAAATACAAATCAAAAAGTAGACAACCTAACAGTATTGTAGCCTTATGGCTACAAGTTATCTCTTCCATAATTAGATATTCATTGTTAATTTTAGGCAACTGCAGATATCTTTTTGTTTTTATAATAGAGGTAGACCAAGTGATGTTCACTATATAACATTTCAACAAAACGCTTACGCATGGCTTTGGATATTCGGAAATTCATAGACTGAAAGCGAAACTTCAAGTCCTTTTCATCTGTGGACATTCGTGATTTAGACGGAATATTTAAAATTCCTATCACGCATTTAGTATTCAGATTTCCAATACGTTCCAGAAATATTATAACTTGCTTACAAACATGTTGGTGCCGGTGGGAATTGAACCCATATATTGTTACCATTATGGCAATATATGTATTCGTAATTTAAGGGATCTGAGTTTGATTCCCGCTGGTTCCAGCATATTTTTGTTTTTTCTAATTATGATACATTTTGGAAATAAAATGGTCCACAGTCATTGGAACAGTTGGAAAGTTGTGCTGTTAATCTGCATTTTGATTTCAGTCTGGTTTTCCGAATGTCATAAGATAATTTGTGTGGCGTATCTTGATTTTATGTTAAGGTGTATCAGCATCCTGCAACCTCTTGCTTTTCTGCCCTCTGATTAAACCCTTATATTTTTTCTATTAACAATAAATCAAAGTTCGTAAACATAACATAGTAACATCTCCTTTCCAAATCGTCCGATTCCAGTTCGCGTAAAACCTAACTATTAAAAAAGTATCACAATCATGATTGATGTAACCGTATATACCTGATAAGAATTATTAGGTCATTGATTGATAACGCAAAAAGGAAATATACGATTTTTGCCACAAAAGTTTGTGTTATTCTATGGTCTCCTAGAAAGGCTGTAGGCTGGTAAATAGATTTTATATCGAGGAGTTTATAGGTCAATGGTTCCGATCACCCAAACAATCGGTTCAATGGGTCAAAAGAACCGGATCATTTTGTCAATAGGGTCAGGATTGATTCGGATCTTTACGTTGTGACATGTATTGTCTTAAGTTTACGATACATGTTTAAATAAAACAACTTAAACGATTCAAAGTTTGCATTCGTGGGGACGGGGGAACTATTGCAGAGCACACAAAACGTCGGTCGTGGTGAAGATTTGAAATAACTAATAAGTTTCGCGTTTAAAACGGTTGATTGACATTTATGTTGTATAGTCTACGGATTTCGCATATGACTAATAATCAACGGGTCGTGGGCTAGATTCCCCACCATACATTTTTAATTATTACGAAACATGGTATTGGGTGGTAGGAATCTTGAAATTCCGTCGGAGTCGCGAACCACCGCGTGATAAAAATCCATAAAGTTTCATCGCGTTTTGGTATCAGTCCGTGGATTTCCGAATAATCAAATCCAAAATCGCTCATCAGCGCATCTAGATTTTTCTTATAGCCCGTATTTAACATATTATCTATAAAACCTTATTGTCTATCCTCCTCTATAATAAAAAAGTATTTATTTAAACTATTACCACTAGGACTTCTGGCGAACGTAAGCGATTTAGGGCGTTTATAGGAGACCACAGCCTAACGCATTTTTAAGGAGCGCCGTACCATTTCACAGATATCTGTAATTAGACATTTTTATCAGTAATTTAAGTAGGATATGCGTGGACTATTCTTTGGAAATTTATCACTGATGCGATAAATATAAGTTGAATATTTCCTTATTTGAAATGTAATGCCATTATTGCAAAACCGCTACGATAGAAGATATATTTATATATTTTTCTACTATTAAAAAAGATATAATAAATAAAATACATTATTCGATCTGTTTTGATTAAAAAGGAGTAAAGGATAAAAGAAAAAATAGATAAAGTGTTGATTATTTATTAATATATACAATAGTATTATATTATATATTTATCGATATAGCTCCTGTGGGGTGGGAGGGGGAGGGGGGGGGGGTGATTATTAGAAGTACAAAATTAGATTCATTCGACGACGCATCTTGATCCGATGTTTGTTTGTCTTCCTATATTAAAAAAAATGGTTCAACTCGTTACCTAGCATTGTGTTAATCGCGAACATTTGAGCGCGAATAAGATAGTTTTGGTCTGGCATTGAAATGCGATTAAACTCATTGCCTATAAATTAATCAGTGAAGCATACACAAATGTTTTTGTCCTAGGCCCCTTGGGGAAAACGTTTCACATTTTTAAACGGCCAATTAGCGGCGTGCAGTTTGCACACGCCGATTTTGAGTTTTCGACACTCGTCAACATTTTCTGTTATTAATTTAATTTTCCGCAACAGTTAACGCTTACAGAAAGCAAAGAGGGTTCGAATTATTCTGATTGAGGTCGCGCTGCAATGTTACGGCCGGTCGTTAACCGGAAAATGAAAGTTTTAGGTTTGTCACTTCGAAGACAGGGCCTGAGTCATAGGTACGCAAATAGAGAATCACTCTACCCTCCTATTTTTCTTAGAGTTCCCAATTCTTTAATTACTGTTAAGAAAAAGTAGTCCAATTATATCCTGTCTATAGTTTACGTAAATAGTACATATTTAAATAAAAACACTAACGGTTTAAAACGCGATGTAAATAAGTTTAACTAATATAAAGCGCGTTTTAAAACCATTAAGTGTTTTATTTGAATAGTTCAATTATTTTTATTGTATCATGAAAAACGAAAATAAAAATTAAATCAACGTGTAAATTTTAAAATTAATTGCGTCTATACGTTATTTGCGTTAAAGTATTATAAAATTGACCAAGACTCCGTCGGTAGTGCATTAGTACATTTGGTCGCAAGTTCAAGTCCTAACAATAGAATATCAATGTTGTATTTTATTACATTAAACTAAACCTTTAATGAAAAGACATTGACAAGACATGCATTTTTGATAAGTGCATAAGTAAGATTTTTATTCTAGACTTAGATTAACGCTAGAAGGCACTGTGTTAGAAGAAGGCTTAACGTAAAATTTCCCTCACTTTCACTGACATAGTAAGACAATTTGTCACAGTTCATGTGACCACAAATGTCCAAGTACACAGGACAAGGGCGTTTGACCAAAATGAAATAGTAATAAATCGAATTTCTTTTTTTTTAATTCCACGTTTTCTAATATGCAGTTTTTTGTAAAAGCTGGTAATACCGATTCTT